ATACCTGAAACTGTAAACTTTCATTTCCCCTTTTGTTTTTTCCCTTTTTGAATCTTACTTTCTAGAGGCATATTTTGCCTCAGATAATTGTGCCTTCAAGTTTTCCTTAGCTTAACGTCTCGCTAGTGTAGTAATAACACCCAAACTAGTGCACTTGAATAGTACACAAAGACTATGTGTCACACAGGACACCCACATTTTGCCTATTGTCCTGTACATAGTACACTACTTATGAATAACATGAAAGTAGTGAGTAACCTGGGACTAAGCTCTGGTTTGAGACTTGGCTTTTCTTTTATCATTTGACCTCAGGGGGTAATTCTAGTGTTTTTTGCCTAGTGTCAAAGATCCGTTTCTGGGTTTGCCTCTAGAAAATTATCATTTAAGAAGAAACTATATCAACTTTATTTTGTATTTTTTACTGTATTGTATCCTACTATATTTATGTCTTTGTAAAACTTCTACAATATTGAAATCGGTGAATGTTGGTACGATGGTACAAAGAAAAACAAACCAGTTATTGCATTTGATAAGCTGAACAAATCAGATGGGGAGTGAAATATATTTTTTGTTGTTCACAATGAAATTTTGGTGGAAAATGTCACTTGCCATTGTATTTTCAGAACTGACTTGTATAAATGGTGATTGTTCAATTGTAGGACAATAGAGGGGGGTTGGGGGAAGCTAACGATTATGTTTTTAGAGCTTATTGTTAAACTCTTCAGTAACAATTACATTAACGTCTTACTGTCTGGTACCCAATGCCAAGGACAAAGCAAAAAAAAGAGCTATCAAGAGGGGGAAAAAAGCAAAAAAGGCAAGTGGCTGCCATTTCTGTTCACAACCCCAGTTTGGTGTCTATGAGTAAAAAAATAATTATATATATTTAGAATGGATTAAGATTGATCAGCATGGAAAGCGAGCCTTGAATGTTTTCGGGGTAATGGTGTCCGAGCAATTTAGTCAAGACAGACTTGGATATTGTTGGTGAATGTGGACCCTGCATCCCTCAATGCCAAAGGCCCAGGCTCACCCTAAAGATTTTTTTTTTCCTGTCACACATCCTCAACAGCCTACTAGCATGGACCTACCAGTGCAGCCTTGCATCCATGGAACACGAAAGGCTCGGAAGCATCTCGGGAACATTACTAAAGATTATGTATAGCTACAAAGTGTGTATGTAAGAATCTTGGTCCCCATGCTATTTTTAATTTGTTGTATGAGAAACAGAGAATGCAGTGTGCATTTGTCATTGGTGTTCATTTGATGTTTCTGTGCTTTAAGTTCTCGTGATTGAATTATGGCCTTTTACATGCTGTCAGCCCAGCTGTCCCATTAAAGCAATGGTATTACTATCTTGAATGAGTACAAAGCTAATGTGGTTTCTTCATGACTGAATTGAGTGGTGCATGGTGGAGGAATGTAACAAATATACTTAAGTACTGCATTCAAGTACACATTTTAGGTACTTTTACTACACTGACACTATTTTCATTTGATTCCACTATACCTTTATACCTACACTCCACTACATTTCAGAGGGAAATATAATTACTGCACAACATTATTTGCCAGCTATTAGTTTCTGTACAAATTTAAAACAAAATTATAGATTTTACATACAAAAGATCTGATGAGATTATAAAGTATGAGGCATTGTTACAGGAATTTGTTAAAAGAGCCCTATTAAGTCCGTATCAGGAAAACAAATCAATATTCACAGGAAATAATCAGTTCAGAATTCATCCAAATTGCTCGTTTTACACAAACTTTGTTCACTATTTAGGTTATTGTACAGTTAATCAGTTGCTCTGTACTGTTATTATTGTTATGCATTTAATATAATATGAAATATCCATAAAATAAATCACTTAAGGGTTGTCAGTTAACTCAATAATAGAAAAGCGACCCCTTAAGGAACAAGGTTGGGAGACCACTGAACTAGAACAGTTAAATGCTACTAAACCTATGAAATTATCATGAATAAAAACTGAGTTATGTATGTTAGCGTAGTTTTCTGCAGTGACTGCTTTTACTTTAAGTTCCCTTTTGCTGATAATTCTTCTTTACCCTTTACTGCTGTCAGCTGTGTTGCACATTAAGACTTATTTGTCTGACATTCTTAGATATGCAGCTTCAATGGAGGACATCTTGAAAAAAGAGGAACGTGCTAAGGACCAACTGAGAAAACATGTCTGTGCTGAAGCTCAGGGGGAGGATATTTGTTCTCAGTAATACCAGCTGCCGTGTTTCCTGTTGAATATTGAAAGCACACAACATACTTTAAATTAAGTGGCTTCTTGGTTCAGAAAACGAAGTTATGAAGTCAGAGAGTTCATTTTAAAGGGTTGAATCACACAAAGTCATAAAGACATCTCTTTGGCAGAAAACACTCCAAAAGAAAAGGTTTTCTACATTATCTGGAGTCACTGACGTACTGTTTCTGGAAATGTATTTTTTTAATGTCTGTATCACCACAAACAAATGTCCTTTCACCTCCATTGTAATAGGTTGTGGCAGTAGGCTCAACAGTGACCCTTTAACAGTGAACAAAAAGACTCACATGGTTGTGCTGTTAGGTCACTGGTTAAGAGTTTGCATCGTTTTTATTCCTGATTGTGGTAGGTTGGTTAACTTCTTTATGTTAAGACCCAGGTTCTGTTCTTTATGCTGAAAAAGTATAACAAGACTATGTTGTGACAGCTCAGAGCGTAAACTGTCTTCTTCTTGTGTTACATGGTAGTAAAGTAGAGTTGATATGACTTGTGTGGTTGGCTTTGTGGTGTGGTGGCATTGTCAGATGCCATAAATATCTGAGAATGTGTTATTCATTGGAAGAATGAAGAAAAAAATGTGACATGATGAATATCAGTTAAAATCTCTAAGATCTGACTCAGCATATTAGGGTCAATCTTTCCTCTGGTTGTCATTTTTTACAGCACGTTGCCTGATATATATCTTAATAAAAACCTGTAAATGAAGAATTTTCTTCCTTTTTTCTTGTTAAATCTGAAAGGTTTAAGGTGGTATAAAGATTTTAAAGGTGTAGGAGTTTGACATTATATTATGACATGATATGACTCAAGCAAATAAAATGTGGAGATACATGGTTTTCACGGGACATCAATGCACACAGTTTCTGGTTTTGAAAGATTTATTTATTTATCTGTCTGAAAGCAGTCCTAACTGAATATATTGAATCTCACAAATAATGGAATGAGCTAATAAAATATTCACTAAATTAGAACATAAATTCCCCATTTCCAGAAGAAATACTGAAGACATAACGTCACAGCCCTTTTTACTTTAGATATTTGGACCAGAGTTTTCTGGTCTGAGAAGACAGAGATCTGGACATGAGGACTGACTGATGGACTTATGGAGAAATAATCAGTATTTGTTGACCTCCAGTGGTCACACTGAGTCACTACAACACTACATTACACTGATTATGTGTCTAACAGAATTCACACTTATTAGGATTATCATGTACTAATAAGGATTTTTGACATCACAATGACAGCTGCCAACGGTAAGATATTGGTAAAATAACCACTTTGAGTATGTGTTTTTATGATAATTTCTCTGAATTACTTTAACAGTTCCATCCAGATCATTCAGAAATACAGTGACAATACTATTGTCATGTGAAACTAGATGACTTCATGCATTCATTGTTAGCAACCATAGCATGTCAGGAAGAGGGCTAAATCATGCTCCAAATGAGGCTACATTTAGCTGAAAAACAAAGGAATCTCATGACGAGCCCACATTATGCTGATCCCATGCAGTTTTTGGGTGAAAAACATGCAGCCTTTTGCATGTGGTATAAATGTGTTACTATCGAGTGCATTCCAGTATTTCTGCATACTGGAGTCCATTAACAGTGTTGGAATTACATATATAAGGAATGAAGGGAAAGCTGAGATACATACTTTATGCGAACCTGCATAAGTCAGTCCCCCACTTGTGCTCCCCCACAAAAATGTGGACACACTCTGGCACCCATTATTCACTTAAGGGAACAATATGGGCACGTTTGAATGCAAGTGTATAATTTTCTACTTTTCTCTTTACTTTCTATGTAATGTTATATAATGTTACTTATGCAGGGATGTCTAGGAAATCAGGAAGAACCAGTGCAAGTTTACTTCATGAAGTGCCCCCGTGTGAGACCATATGCTTTACATAGGTTTCCTGGGCGTGCAGATTACCTGGATGTCCACATGCCATGCGAGTTTTTAACTGTTCTGTGATGCAACTCTTGATTGATTACGTTGGTTATAGTATTACACAGTAGGCCTACATGTGGTGGCCTCAAAGAGATGGAAAATCTGAAAAACTTGATTGTCAAATTAGTCTTTGATGTGGCTCACAGTTTCACATAAAATAAAACACCAACATTAATTACTTTATATACTGCTCGGTAACAATCTATACATAATTATTTATTAGTTGATTGTGTGTGGTATTAAGGTTTGTGGATGTGTTGTATGGCTTCTGCCACCATGTTGTATCTTCTGAATAAGTTGAGAGACGTTTGAAGCAGAATTTTGCTGGAGTTTAGGCTACTATCTCTATACTTCAGAGCCCTTGGCCCCCATGCTTATGTCCATTCACCGTCTGAATAGCAATAACTTAATACCATTTATTCCTATTTTGCGCGTCATGTTTATTTATCCTTAACCTCCCTATTGCGGGTTTAAAAAAAAAACAAAGTCTTTAGAGGCATCTCTATAAATAAACATTATCTTTTACATGTTTTCTATTTTATTGAATTTGTCTGTGTGGGTGACCAAAATAAGATGTCCTGACATGTGCCAAGGTGTTATTTAACTACTGCTTTATTTCGTGTTGGAATCAAATAATTGTTAAATGTTTAGTTGCAAAGTAGTTATGCGTTGCATTAAATCATATTTCGGATGTTTGCTGAAATTGATGTTGCATAGTGCCACCCTATGACTCTGGTCATGCTGACAAAACATTTCCATCACGTGCCACTCAAGTTTACTTTCGTTTTCTGACGTGCTTCTCGTGGCCCAGCTTCGTTTCTCCGTCGTTTCTGTGGACAGAATCCATTCTTATGTTAACAAGGCCTTTATTGTATGGTGTCTACCAAAGGTAAACTCAGTAGGCTATAGAAAGATCGGGCTGAAAGCAGCAACAACGCAGCTGACACACTGTCGCTGTAAACTCTACGTGCGCGCCAGACGCAGCCGTCACGCACAGTGAAAGGTCGGCGGTGTGAACCAAGTATTAAGGTAATGTAAACGACGTTTTTCACACAGATTTACGCTGTATTGACTCCTTGCTTGTCTTGTTCGAGTCGTTATTAATGTGTAGCACCACTTACTGATGACTGAAGGCAGCTCTTCCTGCCTCAATCAGCCTGTAGAGGAGACGGAGACGGGCCGCTGCTGTCCCACTGTCTGACCCACTAAATGCGGCTTCGACAATATGGGAGCATTGACAATAGGCCTATATATAATGGCCAGAGCCAGGGCCAGATTAACACTTCACTGTACCCTGGGCAACAATATTCAAGGGCCCCACCATCACGACCCCAAGATTCAAGATTCAAGAAGCTTTATTTATCCCGAGGGAAATTACTGTGCAACAGTTTCAATACAAAGGTGGTAAAGTACTACAGGGTAAGAGTAAAACAAAGCTAACATAAAATAAATCAAACAATTAACTAAATGCAACATAATGTGAGCACTTACAGGTAACATAAGTAGAAAAGAAGAAACAAGTAACTAAATGTGACAAGTGCAACAAAAATTGCAGTTAAACGTAGGTATATACAATATACAACAATACGACTGTGCAGTTTAGCAGCATAAATTGAAATAAAATAAGTACAAACTAAGTAAGTGATGAGGAGCGATTGGATAAAGTGGTAACAGTGGTAAAAGTGATAAAAATTGTAGCAGCATTTGTTAGCAGCATAAATTAACTATGGTACAGTACAACTAAATAAAGTGAAATTGGTTACAAAATGATAAAGTGACATTTGTTCAGGGCACAGTGTCTCCACTGTCCCTCTCGTGACCGGAGGTAGGTGAGTTATAGAGTCTGATGGCCACAGGAAGAAAAGACTTCCTCTGGCGTTCTGTGTTACACCAGGGGGGGAAGGTGCTTCTGCTCGAGGTTAGCACCTGGTGGAGAGGGTGAGCGTTGTTGTCCAGGATACTGTGCAGTTTACACAGCATCCTCCTCTCAGACACCACCACCAAAGAGTCCAGTTGGACCCCCAGGACGGAGCCAGCCTTCCTGGTGATCCTGCTGATCTTGTTAGCGTCTGCTGCCCTCAGCCTGCTGCCCCAGCACACAACAGCTAAGAAGATGGCACTGGCTACCACCGACTGGTAGAACATCCTCAACTGTTGCTGGCCGCCGCTCGACACAGCGCCGGAACCGGATCACCATAATCTGGCAAAATACAGAATAAATTACAGTAATATACAGTAAATATGTATACTCAATACTTCAATAACTAACTGTCATCAAGTGCATTTTGATGTACAGATGTGCAAATGCTCATAGAACGACAAATGCACCACTATGTTCTCTTGTCAAGGCCACTCACTCACATATGATGTTATGAAAACAAAACACATCGGCATCAGTATAATCTGGCAAAATTGACCCACTACTTAGAGAGGGAAGGAAGTGTCTTCCATTTTCACAAAAAAATAAATTCATCAATCAAAGCATCCAATATTTATTTAATAACACCTACTCCCAACACAAATGTATTGAATTGATAGAGCCATCACAGAGGAAGTCCACAGACAAGACACAAACAAAAATCCATAATCTCCCAGAATCAAGTAGCATTTTGGTCCTCAGCTCATTTTATACAGAAATCACCCTGTCACCTCCAAATTCAACAGGACAATCACGTTATAGTGCAATATAAACATTTTGAAATCTGCCTGTTTTCTCTCAACAACAATAAACAATTTACAGCATTTTCATGGAGCCACCACAAGGAAAAAATAAATAAAATGCAGTGTCATCTGCTCCTTAATTAATTTTTAACTTGTTTTAAAACAGAAAACAACCTGTCACATCACAGTTCAACAAGACAGGCAAGGGTTAAACATTTTAGTACAAGATAAACATTTGGAAATCTGTCAGTTTTAGACAAGACGGGCTGTCGGTTGAAGATGCTGCCAGGGCTCTTCGCTGTCGGGGCTGTGAACATTAGCTAGCGCCGGCAGTGAAGAAATGTAAAGCCGTGTGTGTTTTTGGGCGGGGCAACCTTTTGATTGACAGGTCACTCTCAGTGAGTCTGTCCAGCACAGTGATAGAAACTCGGATCAAACTGTCAAACTAGGCAGTGCTGATCAAATACGAAGCTAGATTCCGTTACTGGGTTGCCTATTTCTCGCTTAAAATCGTTTCAGTAACATATTTTAGTGAACTGTGTCTGGACAAGCTGAAACTATGCAGCCTTGAGCGTAGATCAACTCGCAGTATGTCATGTCCGCTGGCTTGCGCTGGCTCCATCTAACTGTCATGGCGGCGGCCAAAATGCCGAACTCGAGGCTTCAAAATGGTACTACACAACCCAGTGGGTGACATCATGATCGGTTCACATTTTTATGGGAGTAGAAGGGGATATTACTCATTACTTTTTGAAAGTAAGAGAAGAGGTTAGGGTCATTATGCTGACCCCATGCAGTTTAGGGGCAAAAAAACATGCAGCCTTTTGCATGTGGTATAAATGTGTTACTTTCGCGTAGTGCATTTCAATATTCCTGTATACTGGAGTCCATTAACAGTGTTGGAATTACTTATATTAGGAATGAATGGAAAGCTGAGATAATTATATGCCACCATGCATAAGTCAGTGCCCCACTTGACTCTCTTGTATGAATTTGAATCTGCAAAGTAACTAAAGTTATAAGAAAATCTGTGCCTACTTAGTTACTTGACCAAGACTACTGGGTCATGTTTAGGCACAAAAAAAAAAAAAACAAAAAAAACATGGTTGGGTTAAAAAAGTATGTTCATCCAGGAAGTACTTCGGTTTGAAGTTCGGGTACACCTGTAGTAAAATGGGTGTGTTGTGTAGACTGCAAGACTGCAGATAGACCCATCTCATTTGAGGGGCCAGTGTGTCTGGGCTGGGATGCATCTGTAGAACTCCACTTAGAATTTCATTTTGAACCACCTCCAAATGTGCAGGGTCCAACATAGCCAATGGGCCAAGGCCAGTGAGTCAGATGGAGATGGGCAGCCTTTATACCAGAGATGGTTCAGATGACTAGTAGAACTACATCAGCTTCCTCCACTGTCTGTCTGACTGCGACCCACTGATTCGTTATGAAACAGAAAATAGCAGCGGATATTTTTAGAGGAGAAATGGTGTAAAGGATGATTTCAGTTTATTTACAGATGAATGATTTGTGTTTCCTTTCCAGATACAAGTGTTTGTGAACTGATGTGAGTTTAGAGCATGGATCAACATGAGGACAGAGAGGAGGGAGTCCGTCCCTCTAAAGCCATTTTGTGTGGGGAAGATGACAATCAGAACAAAGCTCAGAGGTGAGATGAGGATCTCTAATTGTCCAAGACTCTTCTCCATGTCAGAGCTTAGAACTCAAATCATAAATTTTTTCAGAAGTATTTAATTCAGGTAGAGTTTTGCTGAATATAATAGTATTTGAGCTTCAATAACTGTGTTTTCTGTCAGGTTCTATCCATCTGCTGAACCTGAGCCTGAACCCAGCTGTGTGTCCTTCAAGAGTGACCAGTCAAAGCGTCGCCTCATTGAGTTTAAAGAACAACTTTCTCCTCCAAAGAAGTAAGCTGTTTAATGGCATTAAAAATATTACTGATAAGTGTTTGAGCTGTTATTTATCTAAATAAGTTTTTTAAACCTGTAAACCTCACTTTGATTTAGCCAAAAACTAAACTGATTTCCATGTAGGGTTGGGTACTGAAACGTGGTACCAATAGGGTTCCGACGTAAACGGTAGTAACCAGACCGAATAAGAACGAACATTTCAGTGCCTCATTTCAGTGCCTGACTTTTTTTTTTACCGCCCCCTGGTGTTCCGATGTCAACTTGCGTGACGTCAGTGCCTCTACTCAGCACACTTGTTGATCAGAACTGATAGTGAGAGGATCAATGAAGATGCCGAAGGCAAAACGCTCCAAGGTTTGGCTGCATTTCACGTCTAAGGATGCAGACTCTGCGACATGCAACAGATGCCATAAAAGAATTGCATGCAAGGGAGGTAACACGTCGAATTTGATGAAACATCTGGCGACACATGGAGTTTATTTAAAGCCGAACAATGCACCGTGTTTGATAACCTACGTGACGCAAGGCCAAGCACTTCAACAGCCGCAGCCAGTGTTGGCCTCGCCGGACAAATTGAAGAGACTCCCAGCCCTGCCAGTGTGGTGGTGGACATCACAGATGTTGATGATGACATCAGCCTTTCCTCTTTGGGTAAATCTAGTAATTTAATGCCAACCGCAAATCATGCATGTCAAGTAGGCTAGCAAACACCGTTGCCATTCAACAGCATGAGTGACAACGTGTGCTATGTGGCCCTGGAAATAAAAGGGTATTGTTTTTTGAAGTGTGTGTGGTTTCGTTTTTTTGAGTACCGGCTCGAGAACCGTTTAAGCACCGGAACCGTTTCTAAAATACCGAGTAGGCACCGGTATCGGATAAAACCCAACCGATACCCAACCCTATTTCCATGCATCCTTAAATTATGGGATAGTGTCAGACCTAATGCAGCTCTTGAGAATAATATTGAAGTCAAATTCGAGTTTAAAGTTTAAGAGCTCTACAATGTGCTGTTGTCATGTTAGAAATAAAGTGGACACACACATTTGTTGCCAGCATTTCTCTCTTGCCATAATTGCAGCAACAGTGTGTCTTTTTTGCTCCTTTTCTCTTCTTAGCTTTCTTCATCAGTGTGCTCTTAGGTGTCTTTGCCTTCTTGCATGACACCCGGCTCTGCTCCCTTTTAGCATTTCCCACTGGCTCCACCTCACCCCAGGCCTTAAAACCTCCTCTTCCCTGCAGTCCAAAACTCCTTTGCTAGCTGTGCAAATAGACCAACACTCCCCCAGTGCTTTGAGCTTTTAGTGCGGGCAGCACAGACTGAGCTAACTAAGTATTTAATTCAGGGAGAGTTTTGTTGAATATAATATGTGAGCTTCAATTAATGTGTTTTCTGTCAGGATCTGTCAAAGAGCAGACTCTGAACCCAGCTGTGTGTCCTTCAAGAGTGACAGGTAAGAGTAACTCAAGTACTCTGATTGGACGATTGAGGTAGCTCTAATCATAAGTGTTGTGATGCTGCCCAATCTATAACAATGCATTATATTTTAGGAATATGTATTTGTAACAAAGTAACTATCACTGTTATACAGATGTAGTGGAGAAAAAATATACACTGTTTCCATCTGAAATGTATTGTACTGAAGTTTAAAATGGAAATACTCAAAAATGTAAATGCACTTAGTTATTTTTCCTCACTTTCCTCACGTAAAACATCTGAATACTTATTACACTACTGTCAAAAACACAGCAATATATAGGCTGGAATGATACTATATATTAAAATGTATGTATAAGATGTTTTTATTTTCTCAACATGTAAGTCTATGGTACAGTTTTCCAAACAAAAGATGTTCTGCCTTTTCTGATTTACCTTTATCAAGTCAGAGAGGTACTTTTAAATGTGTTTAATTTAACTCAGATGACCTTAACTCTGTCTCCATGTGGACAGACTTAACATGAGCTAATTCTCTGTGATTCCTCCACAGAGTTGACCAGGAGAGGTTAGAGGTTCCCATTGGTCAGTCTTCCCAGCAGCATCAAGACCTGGAATCCATATTTATGGTCTGTACATGTACAACTACTTTGACGTCCATTCTATCCACATTATTCTCCATGCTGCACTTTTTAGACCAGTGGATTAACAGTCTGACCAACATGGATCTCATGTTTGGTTCCATGATTTTAAGTTTAATTAGACAATCATATAATATTTTGTTCCAGCTGCTGGAGAAGGAAATTGTCACTTTTGTGAAGAACGAGCTCAAGGGGATGAAGAAGGATCTCATTATGGGTAACGCAGAATGCTTAGAGAGTCAGAGGGAGGCTGAGGAGGTGTTGGACGCTGAGGACGAAGAATGGAGGAGGAGCAGCAGAGAGGCTTTTCTGGAGATTGCCTTACACTTCTTGAGGGGAATGAAGCATGAAGAGCTGGCTGACTTTCTGCAGAGCAGTAAGATAATTTCTCTAAAGATTGAAAATGCTTGATAAATAAAAGACTTTCATGTTTTTAAATTCCTGTTGACCGTCTGCGCTCCGCCCATTTTTTGTTTCCTAACCTTTAGTCCTTATTGCTAATATAGTATAGGTTGAATGTGTCAGATTGATTGTTTCATATGTCTTTTTTACATTTCTCAGAGTTGAGAACACACATCTACATTTATGAGCAAAGCATGTGACCTGACACCACTAGAAAATAGACATATAGCTATTATAATTATGCTGTGTTAGTCATGTGTGTATAGCAGTGCAGCTCGAGTTGACTGCTTGAACTAGCTTGCAGGCTTCACTCCATTTAGTTTTCCATGTCCACAAAACTCCACTAAACATGGATTAAAGATAAAAGTAGGTCTAAGTATGATAGCAGTTCAATTGTCTGCAAAGACTGTTTACAATATTTACAGGGGTACTCGCTGTCCCGTAGTCAGTCAAGCAGTCAGTCAAGTTTACAAAGTTGGTGTTAGCTCAACCGGCAACTCCTGCAAGTAATCAAGTAAGAGCAACAATTAACCCAGAGTTGAAGAAAGACAAGAAAACAGAATTATTTGTACTAACTATTTATTTAAACGTTTTAATCGTAAATGAAGAGTTCAAGATTATCAACAAAAAACGATTTCCTTATAAATAGAAAGTGAAAATAACTATTTTAACAAAAAACATGAATTAAACAAATCAAACACTAATTCAAGAAATAAACACCAATGTCACTCTCCCTCAACTGAGGGAATAACGAAAGTAGCGTGCGTGCACACACGCAAACTGGCCTCTTCTGCTTCTGCTGTCCTTGTTTTAAGGCAATTGGAATGATTGCTAAAAACTAATGCAGGTGCGCCGGACCAGTCAGAGGGGAGAGCAGTACCTAGAACAGGGCACACAGATCAGAGCAGAGGCAAAACACACTATACTAGTAACAAATATTCATATTAATTATGGATATTTATTCACTCACTGGGTTTTTGTTGCAAAGCAGTAAGTAGCATGAACGTCTCAAAACCCAGCAAAGGATGCATCTTGGAGGAACAAAGTATAAAATATTAAATAAATAATTTAATAAATAAAAAGTGGTTATATTTCTTGGAGAGTATACTCAATGATGTTACTTATGCTTTCAGAATCTCCTGCCATGTGCGAGCTTCACCTCAAATCTACCCTGAAGAAGAAGTTCCAGCATGTGTTTGAGGGGATCACTAAAGCAGGAAACCCAACCCTTCTGAATCAGATCTACACAGAGCTCTTCATTACAGAGGGAGGGAATGGAGAGGTCAATGATGAACATGAGGTCAGACAGATTGAAAATGCAACCAGGAAACCAGACAGAACAGAGACAACAATCAGACAAGAAGACATCTTTAAAGGGTCACCTGAAGAAGATCAAAAACTCAGAACGGTGATGACAAAGGGAGTGGCAGGCATTGGGAAAACAGTCTTAACACAAAAATTCACTCTAGACTGGGCTGAAAACAAAGCAAACCAGGACATAAAGTTCACATTTCCATTCACTTTCAGAGAGCTGAATGTGCTGAAAGAGAAAAAGTACAGCTTGGTGGAACTTGTTCATCAATTCTTTCCTGACATCAAAGAAGCACGAATCTGCAGGTTTGAAAAGTTAAAGGTTGTGTTCATCTTTGACGGTCTGGATGAGTGTCGATTTCCTCTGGACTTCCACAACAATGAGATCCTGACTGATGTTACAAAGTCCACCTCAGTGGATGTGCTGCTGACAAACCTTATCAGGGGTAACCTGCTTCCCTCTGCTCACCTCTGGATAACTACACGACCTGCAGCAGCCAGTCAGATCCCTCCTGAGTGTGTTGACATGGTGACAGAGGTCAGAGGGTTCACTGACCCACAGAAGGAGGAGTACTTCAAGAAGAGGTTCAGAGATGAGGAACAAGTGAGCAGAATCATCCCCCACATCAAGACATCACGAAGCCTCTATATCATGTGCCACATGCCAGTCTTCTGCTGGATCACTGCTACAGTTCTGGAGGATGTGTTGAAAGCCAGAAAGAGAGGAGAGCTGCCCAAGACGCTCACTCAGATGTACATCCACTTCCTGGTGGTTAATTCCAAATGGAAGAATGTCAAATATCATGAAAGAGCTGAGACAGATCCACACTGGAATCCAGAGAATACGAATATGATTGTGTCTCTGGGAAAACTGGCTTTTGAACAGCTGCAAAAAGGAAACCTGATCTTCTATGAATCAGAACTGACCGAGTGTGGCATCAATATCGGAGCAGCGTCAGTCTGCTCAGGAGTCTTCACGCAGATCTTTAAAGAGGAGAGAGGGCTGTACCAGGACAAGGTGTTCTGCTTCGTCCATCTGAGCGTTCAGGAGTTTCTGGCTGCTCTTCATGTCCATATGACGTTCTTCAACTCTGGTGTCAATCTGCTGTCAGAAGAACCAGCAACATCCCAGAAAACTGAAACAAGAAAACACAAATCTGAAGTGACACACTTTTACCAAAGTGCTGTGGACAAGGCCTTACAGAGCCCAAATGGACACCTGGACTTGTTCCTCCGCTTCCTCCTTGGCCTTTCACTGCAGACCAATCAGGCTCTCCTACAAGGCCTGCTGTCACAGACAGGAAGCTCAGATCAGGAAACAATCAGGTACATCAAGAAGAAGATTGAAGAGAAGCCCTGTCCTGAAAGAAGCATCAATCTGTTCCACTGTCTGAATGAACTGAATGATTGTTCTCTAGTCGAGGAGATCCAACAGTACTTGAGTTCAGGAAGACTTTCCAGAGAGAAACTCTCTCCTGCTCAATGGTCAGCCCTGGTCATAATCTTACTGTCATCAGAGAAAGATCTGGACGTGTTTGACCTGAGCAAATGTTGTACTTCAGAGTCTTCAGAGGAGGCTCTTCAGTTCCTTCTTCCTGTGATCAAAGCCTCCAAGACATCTCTGTAAGAACATAGATATTTGTATATGCAGAAAATATTTTAAATACACAATCATCTTTTGAGCAGGAGAGAATAGTTACATACTACTTGTGTTTTAACTTTACATTGTCTCTCCAGACTGAGGGGCTGTAACATCTCAGAGAGAAGCTGTGAAGATCTGTCCTCAGTTCTTAGCTCCCAGTCCTCTAGTCTGAGAGAGCTGGACCTGAGTAACAGCCACCTGCAGGATTCAGGCGTGAAGCTGTTGTGCGTTGAACTGCTGAATTCACACTGTAAACTGGGAACTCTCAGGTAAAATCAAGTTATTAGGGGTTCAACTAACTAGGATTTTGTTTTGTTTTCTTCCTTCTGGCCTGCAACTACCAGAAACCATAACAACTACAGTTACAGATAGGTTGGAATTATTACCCACTACTCAGAAAAAAAACAATTATACCTATTGGTTAAATGGTGGCGCTACACAAATGTACTTCACAATTGGCCTATAACTTTTGCACTGTAAGTCTCAGAAACAGAATTCTTTTCCTGGATTTTGTGGATTCAGACAAATCTATCTATATAAGCCATCCCCATTTTTACCTGTATACATTTTGCACCATTTAGAATTTTGTCCAAATCAGTTTTTTTTGTAATCCTTACAAATTTTGAGCAATTGGCAATATATCTGGACCAAGCAAGTAACTTTTTCAGATTTTTGAGATTCCATACAGCAGTGTTTCCGTGTTTTAGCAGCAGTACAGTTTTGCATGCCGTCAGACATGCAGCGCTGGCCTGTTGTCACGAATGCTGGAGTAGCTTAAATTTTCTGTGGTTTGAAAATGTACAATTCAATTACATTTTATTTGTATCGCACCAATTCATAACAGAAGTTATCTCAGGACACTTTTCAAAAAGAGCAGGTATAGACCGTACTCCTTTTTAAAATTATTTACAGAGACCCAACAGTTCCCACCATGAGCAAGCAGTTAGCAACATGCATTTCTCATTTGCAAATTTCTCTCACACCTTTTGATTGCTCCCACATATTGATATCATGTAATGTCAGTTACACCATGCCTGTATTTTCCAAGTTCAGTAATAATGAACTGTTTGTTTTCCTGTTCTGTATTGTCTCTACAGACTGAGGGGCTGTAACCTCTCAGAGAGAAACTGTGAAGCTTTTTCCTCAGTTCTCAGCTCCAAGTCCTCTAGTCTGAAAGAGCTGGACCTGACTAACAACAACCTGCACGATTCAGGAGTGAAGCTGCTGTCTGATGGACTGAAGAGTCCAGATTGTACTCTGAAAACTCTAAGGTCAGATCAAGCCTGCCTTGAATGACTTGAGATACTTTCCTAAACTATCATCTTTATCTGGTTTGAACAGCCTGTTTCATCTCAGGATACTGAATACCTGTATTTTTTAAGTGTTTTTTCTCAGTGAATGTCTTCGGGAGTCAATACTGCTATCCCAACCCTCACCATATCCTCAGATTATGTGACGTGTGTTGTTGTGTGTGCAGGCTGTCAGGCTGTCTGATCACAGAGGAAGGCTGTAATTCTCTGGTCTCAGCTCTGACCTCCAACCCCTCGCATCTAAGTGAGCTGGACCTGAGCTACAATCATCTAGGCAACTCAGGTGTAAACCGACTGGCTGCTCTGCTGGAGGATCAACTCTACAATCTTGACACTCTCAGGTGTGTGTGCCTTTGTGAGCTTAGTGTATCAGAGTCATGTGGAGTACATATATATATGTGCACAGAAACAGTTGGTAGAAATTTTGTTAAATGAAACCAGAGGGTAGTTTTTTCTTTTCTAATTTGAGTATATTTCAGAGCCTGTACGTGTTTTACTTTTACTCAAGTAAAGAAGCTTAATTAGTACTTCTACCTAAATAGACAATGTGTGTTCATTTGCCACCTCTGCATATGACCCTGAGACACCAACCAATTTTCCTTTATTTGATAATGAATGGTTTGGTAAGAGCCTTTCAGATTTTTTTTACCAATAACTAAGGGGTTCATTTGAAAATATTGCAGGACATTTTCACATGTGACAAATCCATCAGTAAATACAAAGAAATGTCTCCTTTATGGCTATTTTGTAAATTTGAAATATAATCATTATTACACACGTTTTTTAACTGTTGCCACTTCAAAAACAATTGGTCATTTGTCTTTGCTAATTTTTGTTTTTCTATTTGTTAAGTTTTCTTTTTAAAGAATCAAAAAATCTGATGAATACCCAGATCTGCTTTTCAATAACTGTGTTGTGTAATTCACACCTGCTGGACTGGTGCATAGAAAAATTATTTATTAATTAATAAAAACTTTGAGAGAAATCAAGAGAGTGTGAGTGTATGAGAGTAATGTAAACCATATTTGCATACTGAAAGAAGATGTGCTGGTCTAACCTCTCTCGTCCTTTCAGGGTGGAGCCTGGTGGAGTCCAATGGTTGAGACCAGGTCTGAGGAAGTGTAAGTGTGATTCTTGAAAACAAAGAAGCACACATTCAACCATCTTCAAACTGTGACATCACTCATTCTGATGTCTGAATCGAACTGTCAATAAATGAACATATGCTTAATTTATGATTTATAACTGAAGCTGTGTTATGTCTTGTTCTGTCCTTCAGATTTCTGTGAACTCACAATCGACACAAACACAGTAAACAGAGATATCAAACTGTCTGACAACAACAGGAAGGTGACACGTGTGAAGGAGGCTCAGTCATATCCTGATCATCCAGACAGATTTGACCCCTATCCTCAGCTGCTGTGTAGAAATGGTCTGACAGGTCGCTGTTATTGGGAGGTCAAGTGGACAGGAGAGGTTCATCTATCAGTGAGTTACAAAGGAATCGGAAGGAAAAAAAACAGAGAAGAATGTGAGTTTGGAGGCAATTATCAGTCCTGGAGTCTGGAGTGCTATGATGGTTGTTACGCTGTCTGGCACAATAACAGCGGAACATCCATCTACACTTCCTCTGTCTCTGACAGAGTTGCAGTGTATCTGGACTATCCTGCTGGCACTCTGTCCTTCTTCGCAGTCTCCTCTGACACACTGATCCACCTCCACACCTTCAACACCACATTCACTGAACCTGTTTATCCTGGGTTTGGGTTTGAGTTCTGGTTCAGGTCTGGGTCGTCAGTGTCTCTGTGTACTCTGTAGGAGGGAGAGTCTCTTCCTGTTAGAGAAACATTCTCATTGCTGAACAGATCAGTTGAGTTATCTACAGGATCACACACAAGCTTTTTTTTTTTTTTTTTACTTTTTTAGTACTGCAATGTAACATGACAAGAAGATAAAGACATAGGACAACTGACGCAATATATTAGGAAGATATTAGGAAAATTTAAGACATGATAAGTACAGCAATTTAAAGCTATTGGGGTGGGATGTTGAGTTAGAAAGTGTCTATGACATGAACTGTAATAATGGGTGAGATGGTGTTAATTTTACTTACTACGTTGTTAGTAGTTTATTTATTATATATATCATTTATCATATGTATAACTATTTCTGACTTGTACTGTAGATTGTGCCTGACTGTGTGTGAATAAAAACAGTATACTGCTTACTCATTATTAGTTCAGTCTCAGTCTCATCAAACTGACATTAATAATCATAGATATGTTTAACAGTGATAAATGTTGGTGCCCTCTGGTAGTCAGTCACAAACTACAAAGCTATCCTGCATTCCTGCCATTTGATAAAAACAAAATTATAATTATTACCAATTAAATACAAGAGACAGGTCTAGACTGTACCATCACATGGTTTAAGTAAGCTTTCAATCATACCATTTCTGTGTTCATGCTGTTCCCCATCTTAATTGTCATTTCCAAACAGACCTAACAACAGTGGTGTAGCCATTTTTGCCAGTTCCTAATTTAGGAAATTCTTAAATTATTTTGATTCTGTAAAGCAGTATGGATTACATGTAATCAGATTACAAAATGTAGGTAGCTGGCAGGAGAAAAAGGGACATTGAGTACAGATGGAAGGTTCAAGCAGCCATTACACAGGGACTGCTGCCCTGTGTAACGGCTACATTTCTATCCTCAGATAAGATAGGACTTTTTCTTAAATGCAGTTATCTCTTTGGAGTGAGATGAGATAGGATTTCAGACTTTGAAGTATATGTCATGAGGCCTCCCCACTATTAAAATCCTGGATCTTCTGCTCTAATGTGACAGTGCCATAAACTGAGCCATCATCGAGAACTCCGACAGTCTGGAGTTTCGTGCTGTGTGCTGGACAGACTCACTGAAATGGCTTGTTTATCACAAGGTAGCCATGTCCTAAAGCATACCCTGCTTTATCATCTAGTTTTACACTAAATGGGACCATAGTTTACAAAATAAACATCATATAAGGACTTGATACTAGTGATTGAGACCATAAAATCATTTAATGATTTATTTGCACAATAAAACACAACAGCAGAGTCCCAAACAAGAGAAAATAAGCAAATTGTGCAGGTGAGATTTAAAAACCCCTAGAGGCTAATAAGAAGATAATCTTACCCCAATGAGCATTATAAGAAGATACTACAATCATGTTATTCACAAAAGTAAACAGACATCAAACAGAATCAAGAAGCAAACATAAAGTATTTATATATGTATATAAATATATCTTAAGAAGAACAATTGGATAAAATAATATATAGAATGTATGTGTGGGTTAGTATGTGTGTGATTGTTGGGTGTATGAGCTGTGTGTAAATATATGATCATATGATCTATTTGGATTACTTGGTTCATGAGACAGGATCTTATTTTATATTTAAAATTCTTAAATTCTTGAGTGAAGTAGACTGAAATGCAATTTAGATATAACTATTCTATTGATGAGCTCCCCAAAGTCTAACAGAGAATTGACAGCCCAGTTCAGTGCAACCATTTAGTGTGTCTCATAGTTATGTACATCACTGAAAAACTACTTAACAATGTCTGGTAAGCAAAGCAGGCAGATGCAAAATTTTGTAAATAAAAGAAGTTTGGTATATATTTATGTTAAAATCAGATTGAGCTGATTGAAGAGAGGGGCTGAGTGTTCTATGTGGTAGTTGTGCAAAACCTTTTTGTTAAACATAAAGCTTATGAAGGTGAGAGGAATATATAGCAACCGAAATTATATAGCAGTATATGTGGTAAGGAGGTAGGGATAAAATAAGCTATATTAAAGAGTTAATAAGCATTTCTGATTAACCAAATATTGAAATTAGCCAACAATACCAATAGATTTGGATATTTTATTGCAAACAAACTGAGTATGACTCATACAGCAGTCAGGATTTCAAGGAAACGTGTGGATGAGACCTGGGTAAATGGGCTATTTCCAATGGAAAGTACTGGGTACATGGAGGATGATGCTGCAGCCAGGTCATTAATATAAATATGGAAAAGGAGTGGTCCATGAATAGATCCCTGTGGGACCCCACATGTTATAACAGCCTTATTAGATGTCCATTCATGAATATTAACAAACTGCTGCTGATTATGTATATAATTGTTTAGAAATAGCCATGATTAACAGAGTCAAAACCTTCAGGTAAGTCAATAAATACACTGAAAACATTCAAACCCAGAATGGGTTCTTCGCTTCTCAATGGCGTCATATCCCCTTTGTGTATGCGTCGTCATGGTGGTTATCTGCCAGAAGATATCATAGATTTACTTTTTATCCAGTGTTTAGCCACATTTTTATGATTGACTGATAAGCTGACTGCAATGACTGCAATGGTGGTGAAGACAACAACTCCCATGAGTCGACGCTACTTCACCACATCATCAAACTTCGCTTATGTTATTGTTTTGCTGTGAGAGACCCCCTAGCAGCATTACACATTGTACGTTTAAAAATGGTATTTTACTTTGCTTTTTTTTTTTAACTCAGGCTGTATTTAGTGATGTACTTCACTTACATTTCAACAATTTAAAATCTTAATACAATACAACAGGGATTTGAGACATAATGAAAACACCAAACAATTAAATATTGTCCGTAACATCTGTAATAATACAAGAAGTTATACCCCCTTTATTAAGAATAAATATACAAGTACATCACCAAATGTGACCAGTCAGTTCAAAGTTACACTGAGAATCAAACTTCAATCTAAACATGGTGACATTCTTTAAAAAAGTGTGTGTGTGTGTGTGTGTGTGTGTGTGTGTGTGTGTGTGTGTGTGTGTGTGTGTGTGTGTGTGTGTGTGTGTGTGTGTGTGTGTGTGTGTGTGTGTGTGTGTGTTTTATGAGATTAAGAAAGTTTCAGGTTATTCTTCATTCACTTTGGTGTCTTATGAAACAAGATCTCACCCTAACAGCTGTATTGATGCTGTGGTGGTGTGTGTGTGTGTGTGTGTGTGTGTGTGTGTGTGTGTGTGTGTGTGTGTGTGTGTGTGTGTGTGTGTGTGTGTGTGGCCATGTTGACAAAACAGAAGAAAGCAGCTGATTAGTTAATTGGTTGCACACAGAGTGACAACAGAGCTAGATATCATGTTCACAGTGCTGTTTTATAAGACTGAATTGTGACCCGAAGTGATGAAGCAGCATCACCTGCGGATGTGGTTCTTTTGAAATGCGTTGGGGTATGTTTTCTGGGCACGGGTGCAGGAGGCACAGCAGACACTTCTGTAGTAAGGGTAAATGCAGAGTCGGGCTTGAACCACCACCATACAGTTATGATACTGGTCGCTGCATGATGGATCTGCGAAGGACAGGGGGAACAATTCAGGGAAACTGAGAAAAATGGGAGAGGCAAAACAACTTTTACCAATCTTATTCACTGCACTCTTCTGCTTAGGCTGGCTATATCATGTCATGGTGGAAATGTTGGTGCTAATTCACTGAGCCTTCAAGTCAGTTTCTAAGCCCTCAATGATTAAAAAAGAGTCAGAGTCACCAAAGTCGTACTGAATTAGTCTTATGGCCTCAGAACCTAAGTCAGAATCAAAGTCTAAGTAATCAAGAAAAGATTATATAAGACATACTAATTCATATCAGTCATAATAACAGCTACACATTGATTGTAGTGACTCAAGATGTCCAGTAAGCTGCCTTGATCATCTGTGAAATACATGACTTTTACAATCTAAAAAAGAAAATAATTTGAATTCTCATATGTCCTGGAAAAACCTGCGAGTTATAGTTTTCCAGTCATGGAAACACCAGGAAATTGATTATGGCCAAATATCTTGGAAATAATCTATGTTGTCCTGGAACATTTTAAGTGTATTTTAGCCCCTCACAAGTCCTGGGAAATGATTTCTTTCTTTTCTTTAAAGAGTGGGAACCCTGGGACTTTTAGGAATGTGTAAACACATATGTACAGAAATTTCTGCTAAGAACACATATTTAGTAAAAACAGGCAGCTGGGGACATGCCAGTAGCACTGTGTGGTATGTCTTCCTCTCAAGCAGCAATAGCAGACCCATTAGCTGACTTTAGCATGGCAAGACTGGGATCAAATGCAGCTTCCAGTGCCGACAGAGGACAGTTTGATGGCAGGGAATAAATTATTATATAATAATTATTAATTAATAATTATTTGGCACATGGCACACTGGGGCTGAGTCAGCTTATAGTAGCTGCACAAGCCTATTTGCTAAAGGCAGCTACATTAGCAGTTAGCAGAGTTGAGGCAGAGGTAAAACCAGACAATAGTCTCCATAAAATATGGTCCAGTTTTATGACTTTAAAAGGTTAAAAATGCATTTTTTTAATTTCATGTGGACTTTAATAGTAGTGCTTCCATTAACCAAACAATGCAGAATATGCTCACCAGTGAAAACTGTTGACGGTCAATTAGCATTACGATGTCCCACAAACCTTCTTGCAAGTTTTAAATGTTTGATACATGAATTATAAAAAAAACTCATTATCTTTTCCTACATGTTTCCTTACAACCCCTTTTTTCTGGTTGAGACAGCAGGACTCAGCCATGGCAACATTATCCATGATAACAGCATCACAGAAAAATCTCACTACAGCCAGGTCCTCTCTGACCCAACTGCACTTATAGTGGACATGTAGCCTTTAATGGCTCGGTGGTAGTACAACGCTGCTTGCAGACTTACTTATCTCAGCTAAACAAGGTTGTTTGTTGCATTCTTCTCGGCTCTCTGGGGTCAAACCGGGGTCACAACTGCCGCTTGGGGCAACGTTGTCGGCAAGACATCGCACCTCACGCACGCGGTAGCCACCATTGCAGGAGCGTGAACACTGAGGCAATAGAAAGAGAGCAGAGTTACAGTTAGTTACCCTAGTTTTGTGTTGTTTAGTGATTTTATTGCATATGTTTTCTTATATTTAACAATCCTCTTTTGCAGTAATTAGTCCCTTTTGTTTCTGACATTCACCTGCATTTGAAAGTCTAAGTCTGTAAGTATTTATGTTTGTAGCATGTAAATATCTACTTTGATTCTATTCTTTGTGTATTTTGTGTTTTGGCTTCTACATAGTATCAAGTAACTTGCTAATAGCAATTCTCTATTAACATTTTCAATAAGTATATTAGCTTAGATGATTTTTTTTTGTAGGGATTTCAACTGTATCACACTGTCTTCATTAGCAGATGGAGTTTGCTCTGTTGTCATAAAGATGGATGACATGCTGGCACAGTTAGCTCTGAATATTTCATCATCAGTACAACTCAGCTTGCAAGTCAACAGCATCTCCATCAACATGACAAGTGAGTTTACTCTTTCCACTGATGAAGACCATGTGATATTTTTAAAAGCTCCAGAATAAAGAACTTGAGTTAGGATTGTTTTGTCACATTATTTTGAAAGCAATGAATTACTTTTATGAGGACAGGTATGAGTTAGTTAAGAGTTGCACGATAGAAGGACAGACTTTGGGACACTTACTGCACTCCACTCTGTGACATACCACTGGATGCCACATGGCTTCAGTCTGCAAGGCTGAGCTGTGATTGGTTGAGAGAGACTGGAACATTTAAACTGGTCCACAACCTCCATGTGACCGTTGTTGTTGAGAATACAGACTGCACTCCGGGTCTGTGTGCCGTTCCCGCACTCTGCAGAACACTTCACACACACACACACACACACACACACACACACACACACACACACACACACACACAGACAGATATGTAAGGTGAAAAGCTCCAAATGGATGATGTTTTCATATATTGAGTATATATATATATATATATATATATATGTGCATGTAAATTACCTGACCCCAGGGTCCAGTGTACCACTCCAGGCGGTGCTGGCAGGGGCCTGAGTCACACAATGTCAATTCTGGTGGGCGTTCCCCTTCGCAGCTGTCCAATGGGAGATCAGTCACATGATCTATCAGGCACACTGTCGTCCGGGTTCGATTGCCTTGACCACACTCTGCAGAGCACTGAGGAATATCATACACACACACATAGATTTTAACATGATTTAACTTCTTCCCTCTCTTGTCACTTACAAACACATACACACAAACACACCATAACAGTTTCTGTGTTACCCGTTGACTCCAGAGGGAGGTGAACCAGCTGCGTGCACAGGCTCCCATGTCACAGTTCTGTAGTGTTTCTGGCTTTAGGTTCATGTTACACTCCTCATCCTCCTCCACATCACCCTGGTTGCTCACACACACCACCTCCCTGCTGCGCTGGCCCACCCCACATGGCACTGAACACTGGAGGACAGAAGGTGGGACAGTATTCAATTGTATTCATTAATACGATGTGTAACTTTGCCTCAGTTTACTGTAGCTTTAGCAGTAATGGTTAGATTATCGCCACTGTGACTCAGATGTGTTTTATTCAGCGACAGAGTTAACAGCACAAATCACATGAAATATGATCTTTTCAATTCTGATTTGTCAGAAATCAGATACAGGTTGAAAAACATGCGAACAGCCAAACAAAAAACAATCAGAGCTGAGCAATAAGTCTTTCTGAAGGCCTGTTAATGACTGCAGCACTTTACTTACATACAATTTGGAAGTATTGTTTTGAGTATTTATCTCATAACTGTTCTCAGTCATGTACTAGTAATAGTGTGTTTGTGTCCTCACCGGGCTCCACTCAGATCGTATCTCCCACTGGCTGCAAATCTTCAGCTGACATGTAGACTTGGTCACTGGCCTGTCAGACAACCCACACAGCTCTGGTGCCATGGTAACCGATGTCTCCGTCCCATTGGCATGAATGTGAGTGACCTGGCGGCAGATGACCTGGCGGTGCTGAGTGCCAGGTCCACACCTCCTGCTGCACTCTGACCACTCCCCTACGTCCCAGCTGTCAATCAATCACAGGGGAGAAAGAGTGGGTTAGATAAAATAAAGAGCAGCTTGCAGTGGTTATGTACTGAGACATGAGTTTAGCAATGGCCCTCCTCAAGCAGAGTTTATAGCTATTATTGTGCTATTATTGTTTATTATTATTGTGTGTGGTCAGTTGACCCTGGTCTACAAGGAGGAGTATAAAGCCTGCAGTCTCCTCCAACAGGAGATCATAAACGAGACAAGCAAAATAAGCCCATTTCTGCTGCACAAGTTCAAATGTTTCTCCTCATTCTATTGCAACTAGAGCTTAAGTTTTGCAATCTCGCTGCTGCGCTCCCAATAGAAACATATATTCAGACTGACAACTGTCATGGATCACTGACAGTGTGGGCGAAATATATCTGACAGACTCACAACCAAACATTAAGTTAATGCACTAACGACCCGCTACATCTTGGCGACTGTAAGATCTGGTGGTATTTACCACAAGACATGAAAACCAAAGCCACACCAAAGTGACTCAATGTGATTGACTGTGACTGATTTAAGGCTGGAATGTGTGTGAGTGATGAAGACTTCACCCTGAGTCACAGCACCATGTGGAGGCTACGTGTATGTGTGTGTCCCGTTCTGCGTATATGTCATGGGACATGAGGTGTGTGTTTGTGTGTGTGTTGCTCACTATGCAGGACAGGACTGAGTGTTGCAGTCCTCTTCCCGGTCTGTTGGTTCAAGGGCAGGGTCACAGAGGTCAGCAGAAACAGTCGCCTGGGAATCTTTCTGTACACACTCCCAGAGTACCTGACGCCTCCCTGGCAAGTGTGCAGACACACACGTACACAAATGCAGAAAACAGACTAAGCAAGTGAAAAAATGTGACTGTATACAAACACATTCTGACAAAAAACGAGTTGTCATCCGTTGTAATAATGTACGAGGCTGATGTGTTTTTGCCAACAATCTCAGCCATTTGGGTGTGTGACAGCTACTGTTAGTAGTTAACAGCGTTCAGTTACATTTGTGTGTGTGTCATCTTTGATTTTGTAATATTTTATTCTTATTTATACATGTTCCCTTGCAGCAATTAAGTAGTAAAGTAGGGTGCCTGCACACAAATTTAATGAGCCAGATCTTTTGCACAAATAAAAAGTGCTTCATGAACAAAGCATACAAGTATTAATTCAATGTGTGGTCACCCCATTATGTGTGTTTCCTCACCAGTGCCACAGGTCGTGCTGCACTCTGTGTGCCCATTCTTTGTCCAGGTGTAGGTGGGCTGAGGGTCAGAGTTCGCGCTAGGCTCAGAAGGAACCTGGTCAGGGTGGGGTTTCTCTTTGATGATGTCGTTGTTGTCGCCTTGGTTGACCTCCTCACCTGAGTGGGGTGGGCCTACTGTCTTAGCTACAAGAGAGTGGAAGGTTTGAGGGTGGAGCTCAAATTTGACAGGCAAGTAAAGGAAGAAAGGCAGTGAAGTCATTTGAAATGTTGGATAGATGAAAAGGGCAATGGAGTAAAATAAAATATAAGAATGTGAAAAGCCTTGACCATCTATGGTACACCCACACAGGCAATTTCACTAATTTTGGCTCATTAGACCTTCTTCTCAGGTCTGTGCGCTGTTTGATTGACATCTCCCTCACTCTCTTGTTTTCTTTGTTTTACCTGTTTGGGGTGGGACAAATTACACCTTTATCATGCGTATTAATATGAGAGCTGTTTCTAAAATTATTCCATAATTTATTTACTTGCTTTTTTAAATGTTGGACACTTGGTGATGCACAGCATTCATTTTTGCATCTGTGTGGATATGCAGTGCCTTTAAGAATATATATATATATATATATATATATATATATTACTGATTGATGAGACTTCAGTTACCTTTTTGGTAATTAAACACTTATTTATCAGCATCAACAGACACAATTTAAACAATTTATTTAATCTCTTTTAATAAAGGTTAAATATCAGGTAATGAAATGAAATCTGGCCGATTACTGCCTCAGTGTGCGGTAAAAAGCTCTTTGCCAGAACGAAGTCTGGCTGCCTGCCTGTCTCAAATGTTATCAAAATTCTAATTAAATTTTCAAAAGAAAAATTTTGCTGAAAATGATACATATTGGCTTTACCATGGCCCTGCAGTGAAATCTGAACTGAACACACAGACACATGCTGTACTGTACATGCAAACACAAACAGAGGCATCTGTTATGTGTTATGTTCCCTGGGGGGCAAACCCGAATATTTAGTGTGAGAAAATGACACTGTGGTCATTTAGGGTCACTCGAATATAGACTCAAGTGTGTGTCTGTGTGTTTATGCATGTTTATGTGTGTACTCACCCAGGGGCAGAATATCAGAAGGTTTATCTGGCTCAGGAGTGGGGTGTGTGTTTTGTAAAGGCAAGCTGTATTCATAGTATACACTGGGACCTGGCTGCTGGTAGATCAACTGTGGAAAGGAGAGACGGGTACATGTATATAATGACATGTAGGAGTTTTGTTTGTGTATGTGCTTGTCCGTCTGAATAAGAGACGTGGGAAGGATGCTGCTCCCATTGTGTGTGCCAGTTTGCATCTCACGTAAACATGCAGGTCCTCAGCCAGCGGCCCGGGTGCAGTGATGGACTCTCCACTGCGAGAGCGGATTTCATTTGGTCGTTGGTACATCAGCTGTGTTCCCACAGCAGTAAAGATCCCCGGCCTGTCAATTACCCAGTTGCCATTGATGATGGAGACACCACTCTGAGTCCGCAGAGCTGGAGGAAAACCCCATAATCATCCATCACTCTAGAGTTGCCAATCTGAAAATGCTTCTGCTGTTAGAGTGTGTGTGTGTGTGTGTGCGCGTGCGTGTGTGTGTGTGTACCCAGGTAGTTTCGGCTCTTTATTGTCTCCTGTATGCTGATGTTGCATGCTCCTGCAGGAATCTCTGCAATCTTATGGTAGCCAACACGGAGGAAAATCCGAGAGAAATTCCCCTTCACCACCTGAAACCCCTGCCAGCACACACATTCACACACTTTTATGCACACAAAAGCTGCAGGTACGAACACTGCATGTGCCCACGCGTGTACTTCTCAGACTAGACACTCTCTGCATGTGCTCTCTGTACCATATTTCACAGGCTTGTGTTTCAACAGTATAATCATAAATTCCACTGGATCGCATTGCTGCTCTTTTGCTCCCATTTTCACTCGTTAATCCTGCTCCAACTCTCTCCCTCTCTCTCTCTTTCTTTCATTCTCGCTGGAAATCCCACAGCTCACTCAGTCCAGTCCAACAGTTGGTTTGAGTTGGGGAACCTTTCTGGTCTTCCTCTTTGCTCCTCCTCTGCACAGATCTGTGTTTTGCAAGTTTGGAGTTTACCTCTTCTGTTCTTTTCATGTCACATTTATTTTAATGGGCCCCTCTGGTTCTTCCCTGTTGATGCTTTGATATATAGCTTCATCTGTCAGTTAGTCTGATAATCTAAAACAAACCAGTGGTCTGTCATTTTGGCAAATTATTTTAGTTGTAGTGAGCACAAGAACAACAAATTCAAATAATCTAAAGTCAAATATGTCAGCTATAGCAATGTTTTCTTTCATAAATTACAAGATGAGGGTATAGGTCAGCAAAGCATGTAGTTTATGCAAATAAATCACTAAAACAATGCTTAAAAAGCTTGCATAAACAATTCAATTACAACTTGTAACAACCATGGAGCTATATGTAAATTACTTTCATACTTTTTTCCATGACCATGTGGATGTCTTACCTCCAGAGGGGATGGGCTGGCTTTCTTATCCCAGGGAAGAGCACCTGAGGCTAGGTACAGGAGAGAGGTGAAGTGGAGGAGAGCCAGAGCTCGACCCTGCCGCAGGGAGCAGAGCTGCTGCAACAATCTATCCATGGAGAGACTGAGCGACACTCACACACACACATACACACACATGTTTAATGGGGGAGTGTTGTGTTTGTGAGGTGGGGTTTGCTTGAGGGGTGGGAGGGAAAAAAAGACAAAGTTTCGGGAGGGATGTGAGGAGAAATGTTGGGAGAAAGTGTCTGAAAATTGTAGGCACATTTTTCAAAAGTTGTTTCTAGCTGAGGTCACACCCGTTTTGAACCTCAGTATGAATGTTGTGACAGCTCACGATGTGTGCTTGTGGTATGAGGACATGCTCCTGTAGTGTATCCTAAAAGCTTATCCAAAAGCAATATCTCTCCCTGTGAATCGTCATGCAAGATTGTGAGGCTTTGGACACACATCACTCTTGATCTTGCTCTGGCTTCTCCACCCAGTTCTTGTTTTCACTTTATTTTTCTTTCTTGTTCTGAGTTATTCCTTTTTTTCCCCCTTTTGACTGATGATGGAAACAAATGGATGAAAAATCTAAATTAAAAATACCACAGTAAGAATGGACTGGATTGAGGGTAATAGAAAAAATATGCTCAATCTATTCACAGCTTATCACTTTCTCTCTTTTGTCTCTCTCTTTGTGGTAAACACAATGCATATAAAATGCAGTTGTGCTATAGTGAGTGAGTCAGTATCCCTTCATTAGTGATTCACACCCAAAGGATGCCAACTGTATTGTGACTCAGTTCACCACCATACCATGTTGGGGAAAAATCAGATTGATTCAGGAATAACTGTAAATCCACTGGCTGGGAACCAAAACCCCACAGTGACACCCTCCCAAAGTCTTCATCCGGAGAGGTTATGGTAATATTTGCACGGACATAAGTGATTTGGAGAAGTTCAAACACATATGGGTGCAATATATTCCCCTGGCTGAATATCTTAGTTCTGGGCAAAGGATTGTTTTAGCCCTCTAAACACACAATGTAGTGTAGCCTCCCTGGCTCTATAACTTTCCACTGTTTTACGTTGGGGAGTAAGGAGAAATGAGAGTTGTAAACATCAGAAACTGCTTTAAATGTTGACTGTAACTTTATGTTACACTGTGGAGAAATTTAGAGTGATCGAGCAGAGGGGATGTGTTTTTCCTACCTGTTTTTTGCTTTTATAGAGTAGCAGACACCACAACATTTTAGAACTAATGAAGATTTCCAGCTGATCGACACTGCAGCTGTTCACAACATGGGTGTGAAATTGCCAGGGCTGAGAATTTCCAAACTTTGCAATTGTGTGTGTGCTTGTGTAGGTTCACGTGTTTGCATGTGGACCTTGCAACGATATACGAGTGTCATATGTGTGGATAAACCACTATGATGCAATGTCTGTAATACAAGGTGAATCAATCAGGTCAACGTGAGAGCAGCATGAGCAAGAGAGACAAGCAGACTGTGATCCTGCAGACCTCTGTGAAGCCTCATAAGAAGGCTGGAAGCAGTAAGATGACGCCACTGTATTGTTTCTTCTGTCTTTATACCTCTGTCGCTGTCTGAGTGTTAGGCGCTGTAGTGTGCCCTTTGACCTGAGACACAGAAGGACACCGATGTCCTGCAACACAAACCATTACTATAGCATAAACCTACGTATACACACAGGGTGTACATCTAAACATACTTGCGTTTATTTTTTCTTTCTCTGGCACCGAGCCAGATCTAGGACGCTGGTCCCCTGCAGTGAATACCCAGTAGTCACTGAGCTATGACACAGGCATTCTGGGAGCCTCCAAAAGTCTGCCAAGGAATACTGGGAATTCTGTCCAAGACAGGCACTGTTAGGGCTACAACGTCTGTTTTCCACTGTGACAGCTTAATAGCTGCCATGTCTGATTACACACACACACACACACACACACACACACACACACACACACACACACACACACACTGTGAGTCCCTGAGAGTGGCTGGAAGTGGTACAGCAGCTCCTTAACACACAGATCTGCTCAGTGACATGAACATGCATACAGGTTAATATGACAATATTGTGTAAAGATGTTGTAGTTATCTTTTGCAACTTCTGGTGCAATTACTTTGGGATTTAACTAATGATGTTGAGTATGCCAGACTGCTATGATTCACTACTGGAGCTTGTATATGTGAAACTTAACTGGCAAACCTTCACGCAAACCCAGACTGGCCATGGCCATGGAAGGTCTGTGCTGTCTGTTAAAACCATTGACTGTAACAAAACTTGCCCTCAAAAGCATTACATCCATTTATATGTTTTTATTCATGAATCTTGTATCTTGTAAAAGGACCCAGAGGGGGGAACACCCACTGGCTTACAGTATGTTACAGTACATTGAAAATATGTTTTAATGTGCAGTAAAATTGTGAGCTCATGCAGATTTGGGAATGAAAGAGCCCCTACTGATTGTTGTAACAAAAAATATCTGAAACTGTTCCTTTTACTGAGAATCAACCACATGTTATTATTTAAAATATGTTTTAGTCAGTGTTTCTCTCTATTGTCAGTTTTTCAAAGTGTGAGTGAGTCTTAACTGGCCACACTGACCACAATAAAACGTGGAAGAATAGAAGAAAAATTGGTAAAAGACACTGAGAATGAACAATACCGTCAACAGAAATTAAGCTCAACACTGAAATTAAAGATTTCTTTCCTGATTTTCCCTCATTTTTCTTTCTTCTCCATTTTCCTCTTTTGCCTTGTCCTTTCCATTTCTCCTCTCTGCTCCTCACACCCGCTTCCCCTCTCTTTTCTTCCAGCTGTGGGTTGTTTGATGTCACTCTGTCCCGTCCTGGCCAGCTGCCCCAGAAACCAAATGAGGGGTTCTGTCATCCCGCTGACACCTGGACATCCCCTAACCACTGGTTACTTCCCTAACGACCAACTCCTTCCCTAACGACCATGAGAAACACAGAGCGACCACCGATCAATCATTGAAATTCCTCTGCAGTTGTCTTTCAGTGTTGGCTAAGTGTCAGGATGTAATATTTTTGCTCGATAAACGTGTCCTTTGTACATTTTACCGGCTAATGCATGGCTGGGATGGCCTGTTACAAGACATGAGAAGCAACTTGTTACTTAGCTTTAGAGCTGGCTTGTCCCTAATTGACAAGAACAGGTGCAGTAAGTTGTCCCTTTCAAATGCATTTGATGTAGGACAATGACCAAGAGAGAAATTGCTGCTGTGGCATTTAAAACCTAACAAGAAAACTGTGACAGTGAGAGTGGTTGTTTACAGTCAGATGACTGACAAGAAGACAAGGGCCCGTTAAAATGCATCCAGTGGTGTCTGAACTCACCTCTCACCTTTTCATAATTACAGGCTTGAGAAATTGTGCAGGTGAAGGCACACACACCTTCTGACACCATAAATATACACCTCTCTGGTCAGCTACTGCAACCACATACCTACAGGGTCAAGTAGAGTGGTTCACAAATTTGTAACACATGCTTTCAGGTCGTATATACCTGCCCATGAATGTATGTTTGCAGGTAAATTTCACAGCTAACCACCACCTTTCAGGAAGAGGTTACCATCCATGTGCCATAAGGCTGTGGAAATGTTTGTTTTTTTGTCATTTCATTCCTAAGTACCTAAGACTTAAGTACCTTCTTAAGTGCCTCAGTCAAACAATGTTGGACACAAAGGGTTTGTGTGTATGAGTATCAGATGATAAGTGACAAATTAAACGAAAATCCAATAAAATGTCCCGGTAAGGTGTTTCTCTAGAATAGATTCAGATCAGATGTTGCGATATCATGGCTGGATAGCTAGCTTTTCTTGTTGTTAAACATACTATGAAATTATATTTACTGTTTGTTGCCTGTATGCAGTGTTGTTGACTTTGAATGTTGCTCGCGTAACTTTAGCTATGGTCTATGATCTATGGTTGATCCTATTTACTGGAGAAGGGAACAACGTTTCTATTGCAATAGAACCTTTTGGGATGGTAATGATTCGTCCAGGTATTAGGAAAGACCTCAGGTGTTACCATAGAAACAGATTTATGGCTTTAAAAAAAAAACTTTAAATTTTGATTGCAAAATACAAGAAAATTTTTTTTTTTCTTTGGCAAGTGACCATGGTATAAGTTTGAGGTGAATGCTGCATGTGGGACAGTTCTGCTCGTCCATTGGTTTCTGATAATGGACCACTCTTCTGGCATTATCATACTTACATTATATAATAGTGGTGGGGGTCATTCTGCCGCATAACGTTAAATTTTACTTTTGATACTTTATGAGATTTTTTTTGCAGTAACACTTTCGACTAAAGTAAAAATTTGAATACAGGACATATACTTACTGTTGTGGTATTGCTAATTGTACTTAAGTAAACATTCTGAATATGCAATCTTAATTAGTATCATTGGTAACACCTGTGTTAACCCTACTATTTCTTTTGCTGCTGTGAAAAAAGGTCTACTGTACTATGAGGTGCTATATGGAAGCATCTGCATTTGCTGTTTCCTCGCATTTGTCCAAGCTTTTATCTTAATATTATATCTTCTCTATGTGTGTATGTATGTATATACACTCAGTTGCCAGTATATTAGACACCCCTGGTTAAAAGTAATGTTGATTCCACTTCTAAAACAACTCTTAAAATCTTCAATCATTTACAATGAGAAATGTTTCTAATATTTTGTCCACCACAACTATAACAAGGGTAGAAAGGGTAAAAATTGAAAACACCTGTCAGTATAATGCAATACAATTCAACAGCAAACTAAAACCTTGAAACTATCCAACTGTGGTGGCATCTGCCATCCTCTGTGCATAAGTCTGTTGGGGAGCTGGGAGCACAGAGAGGGACAGAAAGAGACTGAACAAATTGGTCAGGAGGTCTAGTTCTGTCCTGGGATGCCCTCTAGACTCCATAGAGGAGACTGGTGAGAGGAGGATGTTAGCCAACACTTCTCACTCCCTGCATGAGTCTGCGGGCTCCCTGAGCAGTTCCTTCAGCAACCTTCAGTCCTTCAGTGTTACCCAGGTCTTTAATCCCAACAGCTGTCAGACTCTTTAACTCAGCAACCACATCATGTTGCACTGTTTGTCTCTGCCAACACTTATTACAGACTGGTGTGTGTATTACAACATTTTTTTTGCATACTCTTTGCACTACTGGTACCGTACATTTTCACATACATATATTTATATTTATATAATTTTCTACATGCACACTAGTATTATAATATTACTAGTATACTAGTATTAGCCCTGGTATACTAGTATTAGACCTGTACTGTATATTCATACCACTATTTCTTCCACTAATCTATACTGCTGTATATATATTTTTGTCCTGTGCACTTATTTATTTTTATACCATGCCACTACTTCCTGCTGTAACCTGTGCAATATTCCATAACAATCACATCTGTATAAAAAGCTGTATACAATGTACATACAACTCTTGTTCTCTTACTCTGTTTTCATTATATCTTGTATTTTTCTACTTTATTTTTATTTAATGTGTATTATCTGTTGTGTTGTATCTGGAGCTGCTGTAGCGAGTGAATGTCCCCAGTGTGGGGATCAATAAAGTCTATCTTATGTTATCTTATAGTTGATTTTGTTTAAGTACCACTACCCACCACAAGGGGGCGGGCGAAGCACAAACCGGAAGCAGGAAGAGGAATCAACGTCGACGTGCGAAATTCAAACTTCTGTGACAAAACAACGCTGAGATACAAAGCATATGGTGAACTGATTGGACCTCCTACCCCTCTCGTTTTCACACAAATCCAGGTAAAGTCGTACTGTCGAGAAGCGGCATTTACTTATCTTGTAGTAACATAAGTCTCGCTAACGTTACTTGTATTACTTTTTGATTTTTATCGGCTATATTTCTTTTTTTTTATAGCGTTAATTGGTGTTAGCTTAGCTCGTTAGCCACTCGCCGACGTTTACTTAGAAAACGAAGATACTTGTGTGTTTTCCAGTTAATCTGAGTGTGTTTGAGGGAGTTGAGTGCTAACACTGCTGCTGTAAACCATCTTTTTTTTTTTTTTTCCCACCGCAGGGAGGTTTTTATTTCTCACCGTGAGGCTGAAGCAGGGAGGATGCCGGTGGAAAGGACTGAGCACCGCGGAGCCGACGAGCTCTTCAAGTACTACGAGCTCTATGAGACGATCGGCTCAGGTAGTGACAGTGTGAACAAGAGAAAACAGGTCTGTCTGTGTCATAATCCTCTCTGATGTGTGTTGTGTACATTGTGTGTTTCAGGAGGCTTTGCTAAAGTCAAGCTGGGTCGTCACATCCTGACAGGAGAGAAGGTTGCCATTAAAATCATGAACAAGAAAGATCTAGGGGTGAGTCAACAACAGTCCACTCAGGTTGTACATGTTTGCATTGAACCATTAAACAAGGCATCCATATAAGCATACAACAAAATCACAAGAATAGTGACATTAAAGCAGCTACAACAGGTTTTTTTTTTATCATCAACAACAATTTGTCCCACTATGTTTATAGTATGTAAAAGTCTATTATACTTATACTATAAGTCTAAGTCTATAAAATGTTTTTAAAAAAGTCACAAGTTACCAAGTGATGATTGCCCAAATTGAGGCTTAATCTGCTTTCTTTTTCTAACCAGCAGCCCAATTTTGAAAAGTTGTTATGACTGATATATAATGTTAAATATATATATATATATATATATATATATATATATATATATGGCCAGGTATGTGCTCTCAATGTACAAACACAGACTAAGCATAAATAAAATAGACATAGATGGCAAATATATGTGAAATCACATTTAAAAGTTTAGGTCAGTGCAAGTAACAGTTGTTCCACTATTATGCATTACATCAGACAAAACTTTTCACAATATTTAAAATATTAACTTAAATGACACATTTTCATCACTTAGTTAAAATCTGTTGAATGTTATGATTTAGAAGACAGATTATGGATGTCATCACAATATGATTCCACTGAAAGCCGATAATATTCATCACAAATTGTCTCCAACCCTACTCACAACTACTTGCCATTGTCAGTAACCTTCTTTGCCTTTGTTTTGTTGTTTTTTAAATTCTCCATTATATATTTGGATGCCCATGGTTTCTAATTTTCCATTGTTCTGCATAAAAATGCGACAATTTAAAAATTACAAATAAATGAAAAGGTATAAATTGGTCCCTCCAGGATGACCTGCCTCGTGTGAAGGTGGAGATTGAGGCCATGAAGAGCCTGAGTCATCAGCACGTCTGTCGCCTCTACCACGTCATAGAGACCTCCACCCAGATCTTCATGGTGCTGGAGGTAAGCACAAATACACAGAGACTGTGTGTGTGTGTGTGTGTGTGTGTGTGTGTGTGTGTGTGTGTGTGTGTGTGTGTGTGTGTGTGTGTGTGTGTGTGTGTGTGTGTGTGGATATGACATTTTTATGCTCATTCTCTCCTGCTGTCCTTTCTTTTCCCTCTCAGTACTGTACGGGTGGGGAGTTGTTCGACTACATCATAGCAAAGGACCGTCTGTCCGAGGAGGAGACCAGGGTGTTTTTCAGACAGATTGTGTCTGCGATGGCTTATGTCCACAGCCAGGGATATGCACACCGGGACCTCAAACCGGTAAAAGCAACCACTGACTACATGAGAATGTGACGCATGAGAGAAACTACAACAAAATGCATCTGTGATATTGTAGATATTAATGTTAATGTCTGTTGCAATGCTTGTCTCTCTGAAATGTAGGAAAACTTACTGATTGATGAAGACCACAACTTGAAGCTCATAGACTTTGGATTGTGTGCCAAACCTAAGGTACATAACACATTTCTTGTCTCACTGTGTTTTTGTCAGGAATATTAGGTCTGTTGACTTTAAGTAATGAGCAAAGGGAGAAAAATATATATAATTATATAGGTTTATAGTGGTATTTATTGTTGTTTATAGTGTTCTACTGCCAGGCACAGGAGTACATAGAATATAAAACATGTTATTGTCATCATGTATATAATGAAGCTTTGATTGCTATAGGGATTTATTGGCCCCAGAAAATAATACAATAAATGAAGGAATCAGAATGTAAACTGTTTTTATTGTGGAAACTGCAGCGTAGTAAAAGAAGAATTTAAAAATAAAGAAGATAGACAAAATATTTTAATGCTGTTACAGTGTGGCAGTGTTATTTTGTAAGTGTACAATTCCCTGGTGTTTTGTTATGCTAGAGAGTTAGTTAGTTAGTTGTTGGTTATAAAGTTATAACCATTAAGAAGAAAATACGCCCTACATTACTTGCACTAACCATAGCACTATTTGTAGCAAACAATATCATATTTTGTTGCCTATTTAAGAGTTACAGCTGTTGTTTCAGCTGTGCACCATTATGATGGTATATAAAAAATTCTTATTGTGCAGTAAAATAAAACCGGTACACCTATTACATTGTGAAATCTAATGTGAGTGGATTTAACAGATGAAAGCTGATGCCTAAAGTCAAAGTGATAAGAGCCTATAAACATGACGTATGCATAAATATTGTGTGGTCTGACTATCATGTGGTTATCTCTCTCAGGGAGGTTTGAATTATGAGCTGATGACGTGTTGTGGGAGCCCTGCGTACGCTGCTCCTGAACTCATCCAGGGAAAAGCATATATTGGTTCAGAGGTAAGAGATGCATACTGTGTGCTGTTTACAGCTTTTAGAATCACCAGGGTTACATTTTAAAGAGCTGCCCTTATTTAAACCCCCAAAACTTCCATTTGTTTCTCACTAAAAATCATGATTACCTGCCTGTTCCACAGTTCTGCTTTTTCATGGTGTCCTGATCATATTCACTGGTGCATGACTCAGTGCAACTGAGCTGTGAAATCCCAACTGTAACACTTGAAGTTGAAATGCTGCTGTGTGATGTTTTAACCTCCAGGCTGATGTGTGGAGTATGGGAGTGCTGCTGTTCGCTCTGCTCTGTGGATACCTGCCCTTTGATGACGACAACTGCATGGTCCTCTACAGGAAGATTGCAGTAAGACAATTTCCCAGCAGTCTTAATATTTCTGAAATTGAAGTATTAGAAAGTCTCAACCCCAACTATGTAATTGAAAGCATTGTTTTAATGTATTAATTATGTTATGGTATTATTTGACTTGTGAACGATCTGGATTCTATATGAATTTATAAAATGATCTTCCTAAATATCCATTTTCCTACAATTATTGTGTGTTATGGTCAGACGCTCTGGGAATATCGCCAAAAGGCAAAACCAGAGAGCCCTTATGTTATGTTTCTGTCTTTCATGATGCAGTTTTGTATATCTTTTATATCTTCAGAGAGGTAAATATGATAACCCTCGGTGGCTCTCTCCAGGCAGCATCCTCCTCCTCAACCAGATGATGCAGGTACATAACCAGTAATTCTGTTTCCTCTTTTATTATAATTTGAATGTAATTGTTTGTATTTGTGCAATATTTTAGACATACTGTAGATTGTTGGATGTGTAGTCTTTTGCATGTTGAGTTGTAGTTTCTGTGTGTGTCCTGTAGGTGGACCCCAAGCGGCGTATAACTGTTCGACAGCTGCTGGACCATCCCTGGGTGATGAAAGAATACAACAGCCCTGTGGAGTGGCACAGCCGGCAGCCGGTACGCACACGCACACACACACACACACACACACACACACACACACACACACACATTCATAACAAATTCATACACAAAAACAATGTAATACAGATTAAAAATATAAACAGAACTGTAAACACCGTAGTAGCATTTAACTGTTTACTGTTTTACATGAGCATGTTTCTATGGAGTTCAAACAATTCCATAATCCTTAATATAAAGAGTATTTTGGGGGAATTGTTGTTATATTTCTCACATATAAAAATATGAAAGAAGAGAATCTATCTTGGATTTTGTGTGAACATAGTGGGATTTTTTTTCCTGTAGCTTGGGCACATAGATGTGGACTGTATCACTGAGATGGCTGTCAACATGAAACGATCGAGGGAGAGCACCACAGCGCTGGTCAAGGAAGTATGTGTCTGATCAGTTCATAATCAGCTGATGTTTATTGTGGATGTTAATCATTTTTGTACCTCTTGTATTCTGTGCAGACATAATATTTTATATACTTTCTATTTCATATGAAGTCTAATACATCTTAATTCCCATAGTGGCGGTATGACCAGACCACAGCCACCTACCTGCTGCTGCTGTCAAAGAAGCAGAGGGGCAAACCTGTCCGCCTACGCCCTGAACCACCAGTCTGTGAGGACTCTTGCTCTCCACTGCACCAGGGAATACAGGTCTGTCTTTATAGCTGCATGTTCTGGTTCAGTCTTCGTGACTTTACCCCATACCTCAAATATTTACTGTTTCCTACTTCCAAGTGTTGTGGATCTGAAATTGTTTTATTTTACAATTTTATATTTTCTCTCGCTTTCAGGCTAGGGAAGGCCTTCACTACAGCGAGGATGAAGATGCTGTCATTGTGGGTTCCCTGGACTTTTGCTCAGACTACACTGATGATTGCCCGTGGGTTTCAGTCACACAGTATACACCCCAGGGGGTCAGAGGTCAGCCAGATGGAGCTGCAAACAACAAAGATGCGGTATGTGAAAGTTGGGACAAATGTATGTTTTTGCTGTCTTCCCTGTCCTTACAGATTAAGTTTGGATTAAAAACCTTCTCTTTAGGCTTGTTAGCAGCAGTGGTCTTACTGCTTCTATCTCTTCTTTGTATTCCTAAAGAGACTAGCATCTCCATCAGTAGAGAAAAGATGTGCTTACAGCCCAACCCCAGAGAGGGTGCGAACGACCACACAGCACGGACAGGAGAGGAGGGACAGAGTCCAAGTGCGAACTAGTGAGAACAAGGAGAATATCGCCGTGCAGGACAAAGATGTCGAAATATTTGCGTTGCCTCCTCCTCGAACTCCGGTGTCCAGTAAGAAGAACGCACGACCCAACAGGAATGTTTTGACCACACCAAATCAAAATGCTAACGTCAATGGCACTAAAACCAATGCAGGCACACCAAAAGGTAAGAGGAGTCTCTGGGTTACTCAACCAATGGCAGTAATGAAGTACAGACACTGCAGGGTTTCAGTTCATCATGCAGTTTATTTGTCTACTGTAATTGTTTTTGTTCCAAACAAGGGCTTTGGAGTACAATCTCTATTAGATTATTTGCATTAGCTAACTGCCCCTCTCCGCGTTCTGCGCTTTCATTTATCTGTCCCTCGCTCAGTCTCATGCAGCTCTCATAATCACAAGTGCCACATCCACATGCCACACATTTGCAAGTAAATTGTCTTCTGGTAATAAACTCATTTGTTGGCCCTGTTTTTATCCCAAAGCCACTCATATTTCTATGATTTAGCTGTCATTGCGCCACTGAAAAATGGACACACACACTCATACACATACTTATCACTGCCAACTCAAAGGTGAGGTTATTATCAGGAAGCTAATTCTATTCACTTATCTATAAATGAAGGACACTAATATGAATGGAGAATCATTAAAGTCTTAATTATTTGTCAAAGTGAATTCTCTGCTCGCATGTCCGGCCTCATTAGTTCCCTCTATAGACTCGGCCACAAGCCGGCAAACATGCTGTGGCTGACCTAGTTGGTGTTAAACCCTTTGGAGTCTGGCTCAGTCCCCTTCTCTTTACAGCCTCTTGTTCTCTAAGCTACAGTGCAGACATGCAGCCTCTGACACACAAACACACACACAACGCGGTCTGTGTGTGGCTCTCCCTAGGCGTGTACTGTGACAGGTGTAGCTGTCTCTTTCCTCTGCTCACTGTCCCACGTGGGCTGTAGTGACATGTGTTCTCTTGCCACAAAAGCCTAGCTGTGTGTGTGTGTGTGTGTGTGTGTGTGTGTGTGTGTGTGTGTGTGTGTGTGTGTGTGTGTGTGTGTGTGTGTGTGTGTGTGTGTGTGTGTGTGTGTGTGTGTGTGTGTGTGTGTGTGTGTGTGTGTGTGTGTGTGTGTGTGTGTGTGTGTGTGTGTGTGCGCCAAAGCCTTTGTGTTCACAACTTCAATGTCAAAGCCAGCCAGTTCCATGCATAAGACAAAATGGCTGTACTGGTCAATTTCTCATTTAAGCCATCCTGTTTTCCCCTCATATTTCCTCGTAAGAGGCTTTGAAGTTGGAAAAATCTTTTAATTCCGTATTGCCTGGACAGTATCATATATTAATTTATATCTGCATATTCTAACTCTTTATTATAGCTACGATGTTTGTTTATGTCTGTGCACTTTTATGTACACATCTACTCAAATTTTATTTATGAGGCTGCAACTAACAATTATTTCCGTTATCAATTAATGCAAATTGTTTTCTTGATTAATTGTTTGATCTATGAAACATTCAAAAACAGAAAAAAATCCCTTTGCAATTTCCTAGAGCCCAAGGTGACCTCATTAAACGTCTTGTTTTATCCAACCAACTGTCTAAAACCCATTATTAAACTTACTATAATGTAATCATTTTTAGAATTTGATATAAATTTCTGTTAGTTTGAACAATGTTTGGCTGCACAGCAAGAGTATGTAACGACACAGAGCGATGTGAGAGGTTTAATGTGTCCATATTCACTTTTTTGTGTGTGTTGCAGGTGCAGGCAGTGCCTCTAAAGAGCACAATAAGAAGAGGGCAGCAGAGAACAAGGAGCTTCCCAACGTTGAAATACTGGCCTTCAGTCCTGAGCGAAGGTGAGTGGCCTGCAGGATGAGCGTTCTCAGGTGAAAGATAACTGGAGTGTACTCATACAGTGCCTTTCTACTCTTGTAACCACTCAAAGCTCTTTACATGTCACATTCGCCTATTCACACACATTCATAGGCTGATGGTAGAGGCTGCCATACAACTGCTCATCATCGCTTCAGTATCTTGTAAAAGATAGGCACTTTGACATGCAGAAGGAGAGCCGGGGATCGAGCCGGCAACCTTCTGATTAGTGGATGACCTTCTCGATCTCCTGAGCCACAGCTGCTATAAGGGAAAGTGATGTGTTAGTAGCTGAATGTGGTAAAGGCTGACAATGACGGGGCAGGAGGGAGGATAAAGTCCACATCTACGATTGCTGGAGACTTCAGGGTGGCCTATAGGTTAAAGAGACTGAACCACATTTAAAAGTTGATGGGTTTGTCCATAAACAGCCTTGGTCACTCACTCTAAGCCTGAATAAGATAATCACCTAAATTATTAAATAATTGGACAGAAATGCTACACAGCTACACACAGTACACACTCTGCTCTAACACTGAACTGTAAACCCATGACCTAGTTGAGGGGTTAGGTAAGAGCAGTTCAATCAAATGACCCACCAAAGTGAGTAAATGTGAGACCCTGTTTTGCTCTGCAGGTCTCGGTCTTTGGACATGGCTGGTATGGGAGACAGCGGGAAGAAGAAGAGAGGAGGGAAGGTGTTTGGTTCCCTGGAGAGAGGCCTGGATAAAGTGATCACAATGCTCACTCCCAGCAAGAGACGAGCCCTGCGTGACGGCCCACGAAAGATCAAGGTATATCAAAGTTATGCACCATGTCACCTTTTTCTGTGTCACATGCAAAGTATTGTATACATCACAGCCTTTCTGTGCGTCTTTCTCCGCTAGGCGCAGTACAACGTCACTCTGACCAGTCAGACCAACCCAGACCAGGTCCTTAATCAGATCCTCTCCATCCTGCCGGAGAAAAACGTCGATTTCACACAGAAAGGGTAAAAAGACAAACGTCATCCCCCTTTCTGATCAGACTGCCAAGTTGATCCAATCCTAATTGTCTCCTTCGCCTTTCATTTAGCTATACTCTGAAGTGTCAAACCTGGGGCGACTTTGGGAAGGTAACCATGGCATTTGAGCTGGAGGTGTGCCTGCTCCAGAGGCCGGAGGTCGTTGGGGTCCGCCGCCAGAGGCTGAAGGGCGACGCCTGGGTCTATAAGCACCTGGTGGAAGACATCCTCTCCACATCCAAGATCTAAATAATGCACTTTCCTGTCAATATCACTTCCAGTGTCAGTGGACACTAGCTTTTTTGTGTCAGCAACATGACACACCCATTGTCCAAGAATGTAGGATGATTGATTAGTGATTGATGTACAGATCCGAACATAGGATGGTATCTCAGCAACATTAATGATCAGTCCTACATTATTTATAGTGAATATTTGAAATTGTCCACAGGCCAACCTGCAATCCCCAGAGTACATGTTACGTTAAATTTATGAGCATTACATGTCAAGAATCTGTAAGGAATATCTTGTTTTATGTAGAATATTGTTGTTTTACTTCCCGCTTTCATAAGGTGTGTGTGTGTGTGTGTGTGTGTGTGTGTGTGTGTGTGTGTGTGTGTGTGTGTGTGTGTGTGTGTGTGTGTGTGTGTGTGTGTGTGTGTGTGTGTGTGTGTGTGTGTGTGTGTGTGTGTGTGTGTGTGTGTGTGTGTGTGTGTGTGTGTGTGTGTGTGTGTGGCTATTTACAGCATACCTTCTGGCTACTTATTACCATATTTATGTCTTGATGTTGTTATTCATCCCTGTAGGTGCTAAACTTGATTGAATAACATAAAGCAGCAGAACAATTATTAATTTACTGTCATTGTTTTTTGATGTACATGTACGTGTTTACAATTCTTCCGTTATGACATTTTTACATGGTTGTCTGTTGTAGGATGTGTCTGCTTTACTTTCTTATTAGTGCTTCTTGTCTAGTTTTAAACTGTCTGTCACATCGTATCTGTAAGATTTTTACTGGCATGTAAAAGGAGCAAAATAAATGGTTTCTGTTAAATGTAATATGCTTGTGTTCATGGAGACAGGTGATTGAGATAAATGTATATACTTCCTTGACATCAAATGCTATTTTTTTTTTTATTCATTCAGCTGCTTGATGGTGCAGTGGTGTGTTTTACACTCTGTCATCGTCCTTCTGTTCGTCTTTTAGGCTTCACTCCTCTTTGGTACAAAGATTGATAGTGATAGTTTAGCTCAGTGACAGCATTTCTCAGTTTACCAGCAGCAAAATAAGCAGTGAAAGATGTCAAATGTGTGCGTTTCAACACTTAAGATTAAGAACTGGCAACAACATGTTGAATAGCTTATGCTTGAAAATTTACATTTTGGGTCATTGAACTGCAGGAATTTGTTCTGTGGTCTAAAGTAAATTTAGAATTACAGTGAAGGATAATGATCTAGCTGGCTCAAAATGGTGGATGATCATTGTTATGGCAGAAATTACTGTAGGAGTGTGATTGTTATGACTGGAATAATGATAATCACTGACTGCACCATCTGAACAGAGTAAAAGGTGTGTAAGGGCTTCTCCCCCCTCCCCTTTCCAAGACAAGATGCCACTTAGTCATAACAGCACTGCAGCTGATTGGCATTTACTTGTGGCAGGTTCTCCTTTGTGTCTCAGCAGGGAGGGGAAGGGTAATGGTGGGTTGAGAGGATGATAAGGGGGGTTTAACCTTAATGCAGTCTGAAAGAGGGTGGGTGGTAGGGATGATAATTTAAGACAGAGGTGAAGGTTGCAGCGGAGTGATAAAAAAAAAAACATCCTCTTGAGCCCCATATCCTCCATATTATTCCAGTGGTGGTAATGACTCCTGCTGAGCTGAGGTTGGAGGATCAGAACTGTGTGTGTGTGTGTGTGTGTGTGTGTGTGTGTGTGTGTGTGTGTGTGTGTGTGTGTGTGTGTGTGTGTGTGTGTGTGTGTGTGTGTGTGTGTGTGTGTGTGTGTGTGTGTGTGTGTGTGTGTGGACAACAGCTGGACTGACTGGCCAACTGTCACCTTTCTCACATATAAGAAAGACTTGCCCCTCTTTTCTGGCCATTCTCCTCTTTCTCCCCCTCACAATAGAGCCCCTTGTTCTCACCTGCCTGCTTCCCTGTGATTTTTCTATTAAATGTTTTGGCTCTTTATCATGATTTTTTTTTACCTTATATTGTTACATCCACATCAACCTCTCAGTGTCTGCAAGAGTAATGGATGATTAGTAGTCGATGATTCAGGGTTTCCTCCTTGTAAGAATAACCCCTCCATCCTGTAGCAATCTACTTAATGTAATAAGGTGTGTGAAAGGATTCTTGTCATTGTCCCTCCACTCAAACAGGTGGCGCTGAAAAGCTGTCCAGTTGAGTCCAATCTGGTTTCAAAACCAGAGCAAAAGAGCATGTCTTGCACAATGCCCTGAGGAGGATTAAAATGAAGAGATTTAGCAGAATATAAAGAAGTGTGAAGCCTACAGTGGGACTTTTTACTGTATCAGAAGCAAAAGTGAGCTGACACACAGTTCATTCAGTGTGAGAGCAGTGTTGGGTAAGTAGAGATGTAAATCTGTGATAAACAGCTGTCATAAAGTTATTAAAATGTGCTGTTGCTGTCACTAAATAATGTGTAACTGCTAGAACAGATCAGAGTGTAACTGTTCCCATTGTTTTAGAGCTTGTGAGTGTAAAAGCGTGTTGGGGAAATGAGGCTCCTGCTGGCAATTGCTCTCATTCTCCTTTTCCTATGTGAGTTCATGGTTCTTGAGAAATATATTGATATGGTTCAGCAATTTAGCTTGCTGTTGCTCTGTGAAGGCAGCTGCATGACACATTAATTTCTTTCTCTCTGCAAATCTGTGTGTTGCTCATTTTTCAGGGCTTCGCAATGCTCAGATGTATAATGACACCTTGTATGGGAATCCTTGTGAGGTGAGTTGATGACAGTAGTTAGGCCCACTTGTGCTCTAATACAGTGAGAAAAGACTATAGTTACCCACAATTGTGCTTTTTGAAGAAGCTTTTCTCCATTTTTTTGTATATAACTATACTTTTACCTCTTCAGGCCCCAAAAAACTGGAGAGCCCTGGTAGCTGAATGGTTATAGTTCATATCACATAACTGCAGTGTCCATTATTTGATTTCAGCCAGGAACTCACATGTCATACCCCTCTTTCTGCCCATGTTCCCTGTCTGCCTCTTCACTATCGACTGTCCGATAAAGGCTGATTAAGTGTAATCCAATCTAGCAGTTCCTGTCAGCTTTTTGGAGCGTTACAGTGTCTTTGAGCACCTTGGGGGTTTTTTTGGTTTTCTGGCTTGCAGCTTGACATTTTGGTTCACTCTGACTTCTCTCATAGACTCATTTCCAGCTGTAGACGGCAGGAAAAAGTTTGCGGTATCAGCTTTAAAAAAGGATAATATGCTGGTGTTGTGTAAGCACATGTTTGGAAACCACTGATCTAACACACTAATTCCTTTTCACCCGCATTATGTCACATTTCCATTTTGCATTTTTATCTTTTAGGCAGTATCCATGAGCGAGGCCGCAGTGTCTCTTCTCTTGTCTCCTCTGTCTCTGTACTCCTGGCTCGCCTCCACGCTGCTCAGACTCATCCTATCCGTCCCGGCTCTTGTCCTCAGCTCCCTCTATCACTCCGTGCTGCTGGTCCTGGCCTGGCCTTGGTGCATTGCCAACGTCTGTGTCTCCCTGCTTCTGACTTGTCTCCGTGTAGCCTTGTACCTTCTTCACCTGGTCCTGGTGGTTGGGGTTGTGGCCATTTTAACCCTCACGCAGCACAAAATGGCTGACAGTGACACCACCAATGAGAAAGTGTTGTACCAGCAGGAGAAACTGGAGAGGCGTCACACCAAACCCAGACTGAGTATGTTTGTTCGAAGAGCTGTGCAGCAAGGCTGAGTTTTGCTGTAAGATGATCGTATTGTGTATTTCATTGAGTAAAAAAATCCATTTCAGTTTGTTTGGACCTGCTTTTACCTTCATTTATTTAATGAACATACAGCTGTAGTTGATTTTTTTTAATACAGTGTGTGTTTAAATTGGCTTTGGTATACTTTGTAGGAAGCAACAGGAAAAAAAGCACTTATTAGTGTGCGTTCGCGTGACCTAAATGAGGGTGAAAATATATATGCTGGTTGCTACTTTAACAAACAGCCTGCAGTTGTCCACTTATCTATCTCTCTCTCATTTTCTCTCTCCACGTCTTTAAATGTGTCCCCCCCCCAATTATCTACGGATTGTTGTGCTGTTTTCTTCCCATCTGCAGATGTTATCATTAGACATGTCTGTCAAATGTAGATGAGCGGATAAGAGAAAAGAGAGAGGAATAAGAGAATATTTTCTGCATTCATTGTGCCTTTTAAATGTGTGTTTATACAGTGCAGTCCAACAGCGCAGGGCATGCAAACCATATTCCTGAAAAACACTAATAAAGGGAGTTAACAGGGAGAGAAACTACATGTGGTATAGGCGTTGAGCCAAGACAGCGTATGCTTGGCCAACCAGTAAACAGTATGTGCTGACACGCTGTGGCTCTCAAATCTCAGGGAAGCATTAAAAATTTGCAGGAAAAAAACAATTTTATCAAAACTATTAACACTCCAGCCTAAGGATGTAGCCATAAAAAGTAATGGGTGAACTTTCTGTGCTGTTGTAAATGTGTGTGAGCATGTGTGTGAATGAGACAGACAGAGAGACAGAGGGGAAATGAGGCTGGATCATAGAGATTTATTACATGGCCATGGCATCCTAATTAGCATAAAGACTGGACCGGCCCACTCAAGCAGAGAATTAAAAACCTTAATTGTGCTGTCAGCCTTCCCCTCTCTTTCTCACTGTTGACTCTACTTCATTCCACTCGCATTCGTCTCCGCCCGCTCTCCTCGCCCTCTCCTCGCTGCTTATGAAGTAGCCTCCGTCCATGCTGTTTAATTGTTAGTGATAAATGGGAAGCGGGATGTTTGTAATTGTCTCAGAGATGGGGAGAGGATGGCGGAGATCATCCGAAGGAAGGAGAGGAGGAGGAGGAGGACAAGGAGAGTTTTCCTATATTAAAAGAGGAGAGTGAGGAGACCATTTATCAAATGTTTGTCTGAAGGAGGAAAATTAGCTTGGCAGACGCAGGCGAGGAAGCGTTAGTGGGATTTGATCCCAGGCCAGACTGGGCCTACGTGTGGAGCCAAGGTTTTCCAGTAAAATGCAATGTTCACATCCTATGGGGTGGATGGTAGAGATGGGGAAGGTTTACATTTATGACTTGCAAATGTTCCTGTTGTAAGACAAAACTATTACATTTTGTTTAAATTAGTCACAAAACAAAGTGTGTGGACTGCTGCTCGGGTGCTCTTCAGTTAGGGGATCCTTCCAGTTTCGAACTGCTGAAGAAAATCTGAGGTGCTCAAGAGGGTAGTGATTTAAAAAGCCTTTAATATCTCATGGCTTTTTAGTCACAGTAACAGTTACAAAACATGCCTACAGGTTTCAGCCATTCAGGCCTTTATCAGAGCAAATATGTTGGGTTAAAATACCTAAAGCAATGCATTTAAGATGACCTGAGGCATCTATATGTTTTTGTTTGGGTTTCAGACATTCAGACAAGTGCCAAACTTTCTTCGACATAATTACGACTTGAAAGTTGAGTCTTAAACGGGTAGTTACAGTAACTCCAATACGACATGAATACAGAGGTGGAAAAGTCTAGACATTTCTTTTTACACCACTGCAGTAGATATTCCATTTTCCTTCCGCTGCTTGTCACTTGTAGTTACTATTATTAGTCTTTGCTGTTGTGTTTTTGGGCTGCATTTCTGAGAGACCATCTGTAAATCAAACAGTACATGTCACTGCTGGATATCTCCTTAATTAGATTTTCTGTTAACATTTTTTTCCATTTTCTTCTTTGTATTGGCTATCAGTGTTAACGCTAACTACACAGGTCCTCTTTTGCTGCCAGAAGAAACATGAAACTTCACTCCCTGGGTGCCCGAGGATTTTACCCAACAAGGACCTACTAGAAACAGACTCTGTGTTTGAAATAGCTCCCTTGTTAATTAGCATTGAAGAGATTTGGATTCTCGCATCCTCACTATTTTGTGTCGCCACTGACAGATGTAGTGGGAGTTTTTTTTTAAACAAACTACATGCTGTAGAATTTCTAGGGGAACCATAAATTGCAGGAAATTCCCACTGGGAATTCAAGTGCTGGAATAAAGTGACAAAGTAAATTTTGTGTGCCAGGTAACAAATGAGGAGCTTCAGACACAGCAAGCTGCAAATGTAGACAATGAAAGGTGTCATCAGATGTCTAAGTTGAATCACAAGACAAAGACTGGAATAAAAAAATAAAAAATAACAGAAAATCAATGAAACTGCTGTACTCTTGCCCACACTCTTTGATTTAGGTGATCTCTGCGAAAAGCAGTCTAACGTCGTAGTAGAGAACACTAGCAACAATCAGGGATAAAAATTGTCACCAGAACTTATTGTGTTAGCTCAGCCTGCGGTAAAAGGAGCTAGGCTGCTAACGTATTAAGGACTAATAGAATAATCAGAAGGAAGAAGGCAGGGAAGAGGAAGACAAGGCGCTCAGCAGTAACACATTTCTCTGGAGGAGGAGGAGGAGGAGGAGGAAGTGTTTTGCGAGGGTCAGTCCTGTTTGTGTGTCTCTGCTGTCAAAGCCTCTCTCTCTTGCAGCAGACGAGGTTAAGACTTAAGAGGCCAGCCCCTCTCACACTGCCTCTCCCTCAGCACTGACAGCTCGCCCACACACACTCATGTACATGTAGACAACAGTACTCCCAACATGCATTGTCTTAAACTTTCATCTTTACCCCAATCCTCCTACCTCCTTTTTTAACCTATCTGCCCTTCCTCTCGATCTCTTCTTTCCCCTCTCTGTCTCTTGCTCTCCCGCTGCTTCAGTTTCTCTCATTGTTTTTCTGTTTCCATCTTTCTTGTTCTTCTTCTTCTTCTTCCCTCTCTCTAATTGGTCTCTGCTAGGTTAGCTTAGACAGGCCTATTCATCATAGCACTATCCTCAGAGACAAACCCTCAGGGAGCGAGGTGGAGATAGACGGAGTCAGACGGGAGGGCGAGAGGGTCTGCTGCTTGTCAACGCACTCCTCTTCCCCTTTTTTTCCCCTCCTTTCTCTCTTTTCTCCCTCCCTCCTTTCTGCGCTCAGTTCATAGATGTCAGTTTTGCAGAGGGAAGAGAGGGTGAGGGAGGTAAGTAGGGAGGGAGGGAATGTAGACACATTAGTTAGGCTATTAGTTCAACAAGCTGCTTCCATGCCTGTCAATGGTCCGACATCCACATGCTGACACACATGTACTGGCGCACGCACACACACACACACACACACACACACACACACACACACACTGTACTCACGTCTGACATTTGTTACATGTAGTATCTGTGTGAGAGAGTGATTGTGAGTGACAGGCCTAGGGTGAAAAAAAAAAGCTTTACATGGAACTACGTGTTTCGTCATTCCTGGTGTCCGCGGGGCCTTAATGACTGAAACACAGCACATAAGCACTCTGTATAAGCCTCGCTCATCTTTACCACTGTCACTGTGTAATCATCATCTGTGTGACTTCAGTGTGTGTGTGTGTGTGTGTGTGTGTGTGTGTGTGTGTGTGTGAGAGAGTGTGGACATGGACCCTGCTGTAAAGGGCAATGGGAGGCATGTAAAGGCTCATTCTGTGAGGTCCAAATGTCTTCTGTGATAAGGTCAAACCACATTTTTTTTCACTGTGAGTCTGTCAGAGAGTTTCTGTTCATTTGATGAGCCAACACTCAGACCAGCAGAGACTCTCTAAATCCAACAGACAATGAAGCCAAATGCTTAAAGGGGATCATAGAAACAGGTGGCATACAATTACATGTGAAAGTTAGATTTAACCTTTCTTGTGACCCCTTGGAATTAAGTGGGCCTGCAGTGTCATTGGGTAATTGAGTTTGGGCTTTAAGACGTCAACGTCTAGAAATTTACAAGCAAAAAGCATTAATTAGAAATAAATCAGAACAATTAACATCCTTTTGACCCCCATTTCCACCTCGTATCAATCACCAATACCACTTTATGGTAGCGTGACGTAAGTTCTCTTTAGTTGAGTAGGAAGATGGAGGAGAAGCAATGTTAGCAGTTTGGAAATATTTTAGGCAACTTTTGAAACAAGAATTTTTTAAAGTTGGACTTTGGACTTCTTGTCAAGGGACGCTTTTGTTAAAGGTCCGGTGTGTACTCACCCTCTTCTTAGAAGAACGAAGGTGAAACTGGCCATGAAACACGCAAAAAATGTGAACACCCCTATCTAGAGTCAGTGTTTGGTTTGTCCCTTTTGGGCTACTGTAGAGACATGGTGACTTCTTTTGAGTGAATGTTGCTGTGGTCCCACATCTCAGCAATGAATGCTGTGAGTACAGTGTTATAACTAATAGCAACAATGGGTAAATCTATGACAATGAGACCCAAGTTGTATTAGAACAGAGGAATAAATATGCATATTGTTTACATGCCTGTTGCACGTCTTCAGTAATGTTTCTACAACCAAACATATGAATACACAGTGTCGACGAGTAAGAGAGCAAATATGGGGATGCAAACACAGCTGCCTTCATGAATATGCAACACATGTATTAGCACACTCCCTGCTTCATCCCTTTCTTCTGTATGTTTTGTCAGTTTCTCTCTTCCCTCTCCTCCTGTTTGATTCAAAGGCTCTGCTCTCTCACCTCTAATATCTCTTCAACATCTCTTCTTCTCTTCCCCCTTTCTCTTTCCTGTATGAGCCCCTATTCTCTAATCAGCTAAGGCCCAATTATACTCAGTTGGCCCCACACCTCCTCCCTACAGGGGCTCTGGAGGGCCAAAAAATACTGATGCTGACTGACGTTAATTTGCATGACTTCTTGGCCTCCATAAGTACCACTGTTGTCTGTCTCCTGCTCTTGTATAGGAAGCCAGGGGAGGAGGAAGAGCAGGGGAGGAGGTGGGGAGGTAGAACATGTCAGTGCCTAGTCATGTTATGTAATATTGAGCAATAGGAGGAGGGAAAAGAGGGCAAAGGGCGTGGCACTGCTTTCTAACTAACTGAACACGTCAAACCTCACTTTTCAAGCAGACATTGATCTGACAGATCCTACATCAGCTCTGCACCTGTCAGACAAACATTAACAGTGAACGTTTGGCCCAATTTCCATTGTATTCTGGCATAGCATAGCTTTTTAAACTATGGCAGTGCATCCATACCTTCATCTAAACTGTGTTTTGTCACATGCATCAGAAGGACAGAGGGAGGATGTTTAAATTAAGGACAATGAATGCACCAGAGTGGCTGTGTGACAATTAGTTTTGGTAATTTGATTAACCTGTTTGGTGATGTGCACCATTAAAGCAAAATACAAACTGAATTTTTAATCAAATTGTTACGAACAAAATGACACCGTAAACCTGGGAAATGGAAGTATGTCAGCATAAGAATACTTAGTTCTGGGGGAAAGAAAATGGGATGTGGAAATGTGTGTGGAAAGGCCCCAAAGCTCATTTGTTTGCCCTAGGGTCATGTAGCTGGGTAATGTATCTCTGATTGCTGGAATAAAACACTGATTGTTAACTTTCAATTAAGTGCTCATACTTTACCATATGATGCCTTCTCACAAACCTTACAGGGCTACCTTTAGTTGGCAAGGAACCAAAACGAGCTTGGACGCACACACACATGGACACACAAAAGCGCACTGTGTCCTGGGCAGGCACCCAAGCTGCGGACAGCCCGGCCTGTGTCTCAAGCTGGGTTTGTGCTGTTTTCTGTGTGTGTGCCGTGTTGTCGCCATGTCGTGGCTTGTGTCCTATTATCACTCCTCTCCCCCTTCCTCCTCCTCCTCCTTTCCTCTACAAACACACACACACACACACACACACACACACACACACACACACACACACACACACACACACACACACACACACACACACACACCTCTGCCCCATCCTGGACTCGGCTAGCAGCCAAGACTGCAGCACTGGGACACTCAGAGTGGTGGGGTGAGAAGAGGGAGGGGGGTTTAGCCGTGCCCACCACCACTCCCTCCAATCTCGCCTCCAGACAGATGCCTTGAGATGAGATCGGTGTCCCCAGGATGAAAGCTGCGCTGCGGGGTCACACTGAGACACAAACAACCTCCTGCTCTGGAGGTCTCCGGCTGTCCTGGCTGACGCTGGATGTTGAGGAATGTGTCATTTAGACCTGCAGTAAGTATGTGTGTGCATTGTTTGCATGCATGTTGATGTTCATAACAAACATGCGTACATCTGCAGCTAAGTACTGACACAGAACCTTTAACTTCCAAAAAATTATTTTTTATTCTGAAGGACCAATAAAATTATGGCAAATATTTACAAATAATTACTTCTTAGCTTCACATTACAGGTACATAAATGGAATAATTCACCAACAACAGTCACTCAGGTGGACGGATGGACAGGTACACAGACTGAGTATGAAGAGATGCATCAAGCAAACTGCAATTTAATATTTCACAGTAAACTCAAACCCAGCAAATAAAATAACAATAACATTAACAATAGAAATATGAAAAATAAGCATAATATCAAATTCACCATTTATTTCCAGTTTTCTGAACAAAATTGGTCACAATTCAGGAACAAAAAGAAAACAAAAAAATAAAGGAGAGAAATCAAGTGATATGATATCTTTGGCAAATTCGCACTGCAGTAAAATACATTCAAATATTAAGACAACACACAACACACAAAGAGAAAAAACACCAAGTTTTGTTTGCAACTACTAGAAAATCGAATAAAAAACATACACATTTTCTTAAAGAAGCATTTCTTTTTACTTTTTTTAAATCCTCCCCTCCAGAATATTTGAAGGCATTTCTTATCTTCATTTTGTGTTTGTATCTGTAAGTCTTTTCTGCTATTTTATATGTTTTTTGTACAAGAATCTATCATTTAAAACAGGCATCACAGGCTTTGGTGAATGTTACAGATATGTTTTCTTTTTGTCGCGTTTTGATTTCGAAGAATAGAGCAAGCTGAATTGTTCAAACCTAATTTCATCTTTGCATCTGTCTTTGCATTCTGATGTATTTCTTTCTGTCTTTTGTTTGTTCTTTTTTTTTTACCAAAACATTACAGATATAAATATCTCTTTAACACCCCAGATAGGAAGCCATGGACACAAAAAAACTCCAGATTGTTACACGAAAGGCCACAGTAAGGTGAAAAATCATGTTATCTATTTTTTTTTTTTGATTGAAACATCTGCTTAAAAAGCACAGTTGATTTTTGTAGGCTGAGTCCTGTGTATTTCTCCTCTTCCACAGTTGAATAATATTAAGATGTACAGAACATTGTAACACTTCAGTATGAGATCTGTCCAGAGCCTAGTTATATCAGCAAGCATGAAACAGATTGTGCCACTAATTGCTGTCAAGATGTGATGCTGAAATCCCCTCAGGTTTTACGAAGGCAGTAGCCATCTTCATGGATTCATATTGAGATACAGTCAGGTGGTGCACACTCGGTGAGAAATCATAATAATAAAAAAAAAAAACTAATTTGCATTTATTTCAGTTTCCTATTTGATTCGAAGCTGGGAGAAAAAAATTCAGGATGCAATTGTATTTTCATGGACAGTAAACTGTAGCAAAGCTGGAAATGAAACATTATTGTTCTAGTGTTTCTTTGTGTTTTAAATTCTCTATAGATACACGAAGAGAAAACAGAATATGTGATATGAGCTCACAGAATATCCGTAGCCAAATAAAGATACCGGCAGCAATATTGCCATTGAAATGACCTCGCTTTGGCACAAAACACCACTGGTTCATTCCTATGCAGAATTTCTGACAGGACAGTGAGCATCACGTCTGAATAGTCAGAAAGAAAAGTAAGAAAGGAGAGGGAAAAAAGGATTAATAGGGCTGTCTGAAGAAAGAGGGAGGACTTTTTGAGGAAGGTCACGGGCCTGAAATCAACAGAATAGTTTTAATATTCCTAATCCTGATGGTGTGGCAGTGCTACAGGAGGGAAGGAGAGGAGGAGGGGGGGGACGAGCGCACGAGATATGATGAGATTAGGGCTGAGGGAGGGGGAGAAAAAAGACGGGATGAGCTTCTGATGGCACAGCAGGTTTGGCCTTCCCTGGGGAACACAGGGGCATGAGAGGAGGGGCGATCACCACTCCGCAAAGGACAAAGGGAGGGAGAGAGTGTGTCTCTGTACTTATAGTTATGTGTGTGTGTGTGGCCTCTGCCCGCCGTGCTTCCTACAGTACCACCCACAATGACAGTCCCCCCTCATCGCTGCAGTCAATGTCATGGCTGCCAATCGAAATGACTGCGGGCCAATGAGAACCCATTCTCTCCCCATGTGAACCAATTAGGTCAAAGCAATGGCAAGGCAAGCTTTATCACTATGAGATGCATAGTTAACAAATAATCCTGTTAATGTGTCACCGGATTCTTGGCTACACACGGGTGCTGAATTTTGGCCGGTTTGGTGGAGACATGACTGGATTTACCTCCTCAAGGAGAATGATTTTCAATCAATATTTCTTCATGTTTACAGTTGTGTGTGTGTGTGTGTGTGTGTGTGTGTGTGTGTGTGTGTGTTTGTGTAGGGTGTAATTCATTTACAAAACGCTCTAGTTGAATAAAAAAGCAATATTAATATACAGACTTGTAATCTGTCTATCGCTTACTTGGCTTTTTTTGTGTATATTTTGTGCCTTTTTTCAGTGTTCACTCATGGTCAAGCCAGTGGGTCCTGTTTAGCTCTGATCCAGGGCTGTTTATAACGTATCACGGCCCTTCACTTCATCACATATCAGTCAGAGATCTGCTCATCAAATTTGCTGTGGAAGAATGTTGAAAATATGAACTCAGTGGATGGTAGGAAATGCTAATGGATCAGTGACTCTGTACTGCATTGGGCTTAATGCTAACTTACTTACAATGGTAATTCTTACATGCCTATGTTTAGCAGATATAATGTTTACCATGTTCACCATCTTAGACAGACTTAAATGTTTGACCTGACAGTGGCGCAAGATTCATGGCAAAGTTGTGGAGTCATTTTACACAAAACCACCATGTCAAATTCATCGTAGCACTAAAGCAAAAAATCAGGGGATCACAAAGTCATTAGGATATATTTTCTGGCAACCATGAATATCTGTACTAAATTTCATTCCAATCCATTAAATAGTTGCACTGCTAAAAACATTATTTATTCCATCACAGAAAGGATTATTCTATTTAACATTATATTTGAGATTTCAAACATTAATATAACACCTTCCTCGCTCATCGACTTCGATTCTAGCGATTAAAAGTGCAATCTCATTTATACATCTACAAACCACTAGTGGCAGCACTGAATGAACAACCGTTCATTTTGCATGACACATTTACATTACATGACCGCATGACAGTGCTTGTAGATTCCTAAGAGGATTTTCCATCAGATGAGTTTGTATTTTCAACATTATCCCGGTCAGTCATTTTGTAAGTGAATCTGTGACTCAAATGTCCAAGCTCTAGGACATATTCTTCTGTTCTGGATCAGGGCTAGGTTCTGTTATAAGAGGTGCAATGTTACCGTTGGTACAGTATGTAAATTATTATCTGAAGTTGGTATTGAAATTTCTGACTTATTTGTGGAAGGCTTTATATAATCTACAACCCTGTGTTCGCATGGGCAGATAGGCAGAGTTTTGTTTAAGGAGTTGCAGGGAGGGACACTGAATCTTGTTTTAGTGATGCATGGTCAGTCGGGGGGGGGTTTGACATATAAAACTAAAGGCACTGTCCTTGTTTTCAGCTGGTGTGGTTCAGGTTCAATAATGCCTCAGAAAGATCAAGAGAGAAAGACAGAAATAAGGAAAGACTCCTGCTGCGTTGCACGCTGGCAGCACAGCGGGTGAGCCGTCATAAGAATCTTCTTTAGAGTTGTGTACACACAACTTTTAAGGTCTACAAATGTAAAAGGATCCACTCTATCACTATTTCAAAACCCAGAAACAACAAAGATTGAGAAACTAACAGCTTTGTTCAGTGTTTATAGGTATATGTTTATATATCTATATTTTTATGTCTCACGCTGCAGATTTACACTGTAGACTACACAGTAGCAATGAAGCGCTACGGTCAGCCACACATACCCAGAACAAACAAACAAATAAACAAAAGATATGAAAAAACGATGGCTAAAACAACACCACACACCTCCTAGTCTTTTTATCGTAAAAAAGCTTCAACACTAAAATCTAAATTCAAATGTGAATAATTGAACTTGTTATTGACATTGTGACTTCTCTTCTCGTTCACTGATTACTGTACAAATCGTGTATTGACAGAAGTGAGACAGGAAGCTACGTACAGGTTTAGGAAGATACTGCCCCCTCGCAAGATCAACACCGCGGGCCCTTAAACATTTGAGAGGGATAACACACTGATTTCAGATCAGCGCTCAAGGGCACATCTGTCCTACTCTGTCTGTACATGATGGGTAAGGCCTCGACCCTGGTGTCATACATTGTCACAGCGCAGAACTTATGTAGGAGACAAACAAAAAGAAAAAAAAAGAAAACAGTTTCACTTGTTTTTTCACGAAAGCAATGCTTTTATAGAAACAATTTCAGGATGTCAAACAGCACAAGGACAAGCATTCAAAAGGGGGAGAAGAATAAGAAGTACTGAATGGATCTGAAAGGAAGTCAGAAAGTAAAATGGCGCCTTTAAATGATGATTGAGTCTCTTTGTGCTTTTGTAGTTAGTCAGCCGATCCACTAGGGGGGGCCCATCTTTGGGGAGTTTAAAGAGAGAAATAGAAAGAGAGCGAAAGAGAGCGAAAGAGAGAGAGAGAGAGAGAGAAAGAGAGGGTGCCACTACTTCCTGGATCTTCTTTTCAATATTCAGGAAGCGGATAAAAATGGCGTCTTATTCAGCGGCACCTGTGTCAACTAATACCAGGCAACAAACTATAAACAGGAAAATCGCAATCGGATCATATTTATAAACAAAGACTTCTTTTTCGTATTGAAAGTTTTTAAGATTTCATATTTCACTGCATCGTCATCATCATCATCATCACTATTCTAGCACAACAGCGTGACACATATTATAAATCATTACAGGCATTCACTCTCATCACGGAGTGCAGCGCAGAAAAGCTTCTTAATATATTACTCTGTGTCTCCTCCATTATAAATAGCTCTTGATCAGGACTAAATCTTGGCTGGGGAGGTAGGATAGCACCTTCCTGTACAATAACACTCCCTGGTGGATTTTGGTCTGATGTGAACATGTACACTGTTTGTTTTACAGTAGAGGGCTCAGATTTTAGGCTGTGCTTTTACTGAAAGGCCTGTCCGTCAGTCAGTGGCATTCAGACCACTTTGAATGTGAAGTGTGGATGTTAGGATACAGTTTTTCTTATTGGGGGAACACGCTGGGATCTGGCTACAACCACTGAAACTGACCGTTTGCTAAAGCCCACCCTCGAACAGCGATTATCATAGCTTGGTAACCATAACTCAGCACGGCACGCCTGTCAAGCTTTTGACTTCTCCACATGCTGAAGCAGTGTGCATGGGGCTGTAGTAAGAGTGATACTCAACATTGAACGGGTTTGAAAGGGGGAGTCATTTAACCTTAGCATTAACATCCAGTCTCTCTCTCTCTGTCTTTCTGTCTCTCTCTCTCTCTCTCTCACTTTATCTCCTTTTTGCCATGAACGTGTTTATTGCCTCCTCAAAATCATTAGATATATGCTACAAATTCGATTAGATGATTTTATAAGCAATATTCTGAGTAACATTTTCTCTCAGGTGGAGTTGTCCAATGTGAATATTTCGTAATTAAGACTGCTGTGTTAACGTTTCTTTTCTGTGCTTAGTTGTGACAAATGCAGTCCCACCTCTGAACTGCATCTATGAGCTCGCCTTCACCGGAGTGCGTCTGGAGGTTCAATATGAGACGCAGTCCAGGAGCTGACTGTGTGATGAACTGCTGCCTTTGTAAATCAGGTGCTGAATGCACACAGATTGTAGCTGCAGACTCAATGAAAACCACCGTAGTTTTATATTAGTTAAACTGACCGATGTGTTTATTTGCTCTAACAAATGCTACAAACATTAGCATGTCTGGCAAATTAGTAACCAAGTGTTACTTGCAAGTCCAATAGCACATCATTAACCAACTGATTAAGCTTATAAAAATACAAACATGTTATGATAGCTACAGCTGATCAAATCTGCCAGCGACAGTTGATATTTCAGCAAAATTGATGGCTTCCTGATAGAAGTGAGAAGCTGCTTTTGTCTACTTCTATTTGAAATCAAGAATCCATTGTTTCAAAAATCACTAGGATTGGTAAATCTGCCACTGTTACCATTGTTAACTGCATATGTGCTAGTGAGAACGGAAAGCTTGCCAGGCATAGCGACAGTAACTAATGGTGGTGGGGCTTAGCGAACGGTCAGTTGTGAAACTGAACACTCCCATTGAAAGGTAGTGTATCCCATTTAGTGAGCATTGTGATCCCAGGGGAAATGCGTTGAATCTACAGCACGAGACTCTGGAATGGTAATGATAGGGGTGATTTTGGTCATTTAAAGTTATGAGAATTGGATTGTCTTTACTTCACCGTAGCATGGCATAGAAAATTGATTGATGTCGGGGCATAAAAGGACCGTTTGAAAAAGTGATTTTGCTCTAATCAACTCAAATAATTTCATCAAAAATATTCCCAACCTGAAAACATAACATTTTACCCAGAAGATCACAATACAGTTTCACTGCTCCACAGACTTACTGTAGATTTAAAAACAAGTTAGAGATACCAAGCCTTCAGATGTTATGGGAGGGTCCAATTTTGTACTTGCTTACAAAATCTTCTGAATATGTCAGTTATTGACACCGCCATGCCTGTGTCCTCACAGTAATGTAAAACCCATACAGTTTGTCTGTGTTGCAGCCCAGCAGTGCGTTTGTTGGCAATCAAAGAAAATTCAAACTTCACTGACGTCAAAAATTTGAAATCTTCATCCCCATTGTCGTCCATGCGTAGGCAGGTTTGTACTGAGTGGTGCTGGTGCTATCCGTCCCTCCCTCCCTCATCTCCTTCTTCTCATCCTCCTCTCCTCTCAGTGGGGTCAGTGGCGGTCGTAGGCGGAGGCTGTCGCAGTGGCAGCAGGGCCCGTCCCCCGTGATGTTGCACTGTAGTAGTACGGTGACCCTGGGAAGATACACAGAAATAAATGCTTCATTCAATTCTTTTAAATGAGAATTTAAAAAATGGATTATCGAATAAAAAATACAATTTGCTGAAAGATAAGTCCGGTTTACTTCAACTTGAGTCTTATTGTTGTAGTTTTGGCCTAATTTCCATTGGTTATGATATCATTGTGCTCACTAGACCATTGGCCACTAGTGGGCAGTACAAAAAGCTGTAAACACCACGACATATTCTCACCTTATAAAGTTCATCTAACACACTTATGTTAGCAAACAGTTGCCTATTGCCTACAAAATCTAGTAGATACAGAGCAACATTAGCATTCATTTGGAGTCATGTTTCTGGCCACCTGATAAGTCTGGCTCTGTTTTGAGGTCCACCAACTCCTGAGGGAAATATCTGGCTCTTTAGCTGCTACATGCTCCGCTATGTTCACCAGCTAGTCGCTAACTTCTGCCAGTCTGCTGTTTGGTTCTGAGAAGGTAACATATAGTGGGTTTATCTGAACTTAAATTAAAACCAGCAGCTTGGAAATGAGGAAATGAGGTGGTTAGAGTACATACAAATAGTAAAGTGGTGGGCCTGAAAAGCAAAGGGCAACTGCAAAGTTAAATTTTCTGTGGCTGTCAGTTAGAGTAACTTCTTTTACATGCACATATTAATTTGTTCATATAGAAATAATGATTATATCAGCTTCAAACCACTATTTGAAAATAGTTAAAACCAGTAATGTATGTAATATTCTCTCATTAGATTAACAGATGAAGACGAAATGTCGAAATGCTGTAAATTAATAAATACTCTTTTTGGGAGCATCTATTTAGTGCCTATTTATCTACTTATTGCACAGCAAACTGCACTTTCTGTACTTCATTGGACGTTGCGTTCACAGATGTGAGCAATTAACTTGGTGCAATTTTGCATTACAGATAGGAATGTTGGTTAAAATGACAAAAAAATAAGACCCAGGTTGTAATAAATCTGAATAATCTTGCAGTGAATAAAATGCAGTGAAATTGTGGAATTAACAGCTTCTTTTCTGTTCAGATTATATTTTACTTTGAATATGAGTAGTGAAAGGCAGGGGTGAGATGACGTGATCTGATGAAGCTAATGACAGAAAAAAATGTGTCTCCTTGTTGTGTACAACCAATAAAACGAACTCAGTCTACTTTCTGACACTCTTCTCTTCATCTCCCACCTTCGCTCTTTCTCTCTCTCTCTCTCTCCCTCTCTCTCTCTCTCTCTCTCTCTCTCTCATACACACTCACACTCACACACACACACCACACACACACACACACACACACACACTATCTAAGTGACAGTCTAAGCTGACACACTGAGTACAGCTCTACTACTGCTGATCCCTTGAGTCTATTCTCTCCTCAGGGAAGAGGTCAATTCAATACTGTAACCCCAAAGACACACAGAAACCCACACCCACACACCTGAATACGCACAGGAAAAAAAACCTACCTCCACACACCCAAACACACACATACCTGTCTCTGTCACTTCCATCAATCAGCCCAGCTCTGTGTTGACAGGTTATGTCTGTCCACAGTCCAGGTAATCTCGGGAGGCTCTTTGGGGAAGTGAGGCATTAAGCCGGTCTGACAAACTATTTAGTCTCAGTCAAGACTTCAGATGCCCTCTCTCCCCTTTTGCCTCTTTTTTTTTAAACTCCCCTTCTTTCATTTGTCACCTCTACTCTCATCCTTCCCTGCCTCTCCTCTGTATCACAGTCTCTCCATTCTCCTGCCATCAATCTTAAAGCTTTCAGTGTCTCATAATGTGCATCTTGTCCTCATATTATGTGCCCGCTCATCCGTTGTCATTCTAAAGTTCCCTCACAGTCTCCTCTTCTTTCCTTCTTCTCTACCAGTCTTTTTCCCCTCATCATTGCTCCTCCTTCTATACAGACACCTGAATCTGCTTTACTTGAGTTTACTCTTTCATTTGATTTCTCTCTATCTTTCTTTCTCCACCTACCTTGCATCTGTCCTGCCTGGCTGGTGAAGAGACTGGAGGAGCAGCCGATTTCCGTCCCCAGGAGAGACCCATAATCCTGCTGAAAGACTGGGGACAGAGGGGGGGAGGGAAGGAGGGGGCGGGGAGACGAGAGGTGAGGAAAGCATGGGCACACACTACAGGTCAGCTCAGCACTGACCCTTCTCACCTATTGACCTTTACACCGTCACTGTGACTGTTTCACCTTTAAACGTGCCCCTTAAAAACGGGTCCCTAGACAATGACGACCTTGTAGCTGGTAATTTTTCATCAGGATATTGAAATATATATATATGGTGATATAATAAATATTCTGAAAAATTCAAGAGAAAATATGAATGTACCTCTGTCTAATACAGTTAATAAAAATACCTTACAAATCAAGATGTTTCCACAAAACAATCACATAAAAATTCAAAAAGACTTAAAGCAGTCCTGTTGATTAATTTGTAGCATTATCCGTAATGGCCTCATACCCTCAGAGATATCAAAACAATAGGTAGTGCAGAATGATATGGCAAAATCTCTGAGGGTATATGTTATCGCCCACCCAGAAAACTAAAGTGCTAAAGCAGAAGCCACAATTTTCAGCCACAATGCAACATGACAAAAGGTTTCAATCATTGAACAGACGACATCCTTTTCTACGTTTCTGGTGCTGGATTCTGCCGTCACGCTTCTCTCCAGGTGGTTTGAGAACCCGTTTTGTAAGACTGTTGTCGCGTTGCCTTTAAAAGTGAATTAGATTATATAAACTAATGTTGCCTGCTTGTACTCTGGCAGGTCACTACTTGTGGCAGCTCAGTTTTGGTCTTTGTTAATGTTGTTAATGTGAGGGTGACTGCATGAAAGATAAAAAAATAAGAGGTTGGACTGAAGTTCCTCCATAATAACTGTATAACATGAAATACAGCAGATAAATGCCTGTTAATCTGTTCCTTCCCCTCTCTCTCTCTCTCTCTCTCTCTCTCTCTCTCTCTCTCTCTCTCTCTCTCTCTGTCTGCTTCCCCTTTCTTCAAATCCATTCACACCCCAAATTGCCAGTCTTTTAAAAAATCCTTCCACAGAACCATTAGTATGTCTACGATGTATTGTACTGTAAGGCACAATACAGAAAGAAATGTAATGTAATGAAAAAATGAACAGTGGAGCATGAAAGATACAGCATATTACAAGAGAGTATTAGAGAGGCTGGAACTGGGACGTGAGGTAGAATGAAATGAAATTCATTGATACAATTATTGATCCAGTTCTGGTCATCAGAACTGGATGCATAGACAAGGGATACACCTACCTAATAAACTGGGGTTAGGAAATCTCCACGATTCATTGTACGTGGAATACTGGGGATGAGAATATGGACTTCCGGAAAAATCTCCCCCTGAAAGAAAACACAAGAAACGGAGCATGTTTAGAGGCAGCAGAGGATAGAGATGATGTTTCTTTTCTTTGAAAAACAGGATGCTGAACATTTTTGGTTTTAATCTTTTATGTTGGCTTATGAGTCTTTAACATTCTGAGCTACCAGCCTTTGCTAGTGTGCATGTACAACTCTGTGACTGTCCTCATTAGGGAGACGAGAGCATCAGTTTGTTTAAATGCCTACAATTATCTGTTTTTATGTATTTCAGACAAGGGAAGTGTCGGTGTGCAAATTACTTTCATCTGTCAAAAACCAACAGTAAGTTAAATATATATATATATATTTATATATATATATATATATATATTTATATATTTTTATATATATATATATATATATATAAAAAAAATATATATATATATATATTTAAATTATTTGTGTGCCTGCACCTAACCAAACATTAACCACAGTGGCGGTAGATGCCTTGTTTTTTAAAGGCAATGACAAATTATCAGATTTCTTTATCCTGCTCTTTGTTTTCAGTAGAATGGTTTGCAGACCAGTTGAGTTTGACTTGAACTGGAGCTCGCAGCGAGACTGTAGTGGTCTTCCCATACAGTGGATGATAGCGTAGCTTTTCTCCCTCATTTACTACTTACTGTCTGGGGTCTACTCTTCCTCTTGTCTTCCCCTCCCACTCTTCCCTTCACCCCTTTCTCTTTTATTTTTCTCTCTCGTCCTCTGGCCCGCCTGACTACAGCCCACCCGTCACCCTTCACATCAAAACAACATTCTTCCCTATTTCTTCTCCTCTTTTTTTAATCCATCTCTCCGCTGACTTGTTCTCTCTCTCTCGTTTTTCACTCTTTTGCTCTTTCTTTCTTTTCTCCTGAACCTTCACTCCTCCCGGGGGATCCCTCTCCCATAGCTGACAGTCACAGACCCTGATGCCCCCCCACCCCAGCCCCCCACATCCCTCCTCTCTCCCTCTCGTTCTGTCGGTTCTGCCTCACTGCTCTTCTACACCCCCTCTGAGTGTCAGCCCCCCTGCTGCAGAGAGAGAGGCTGAGAGAGAGAAGAAGAACAGCAGAAGAGAGTTGCTTGCTTAATGAAGGTATGATATTAGACAGAGCGGACAAAAAGGAGGATAATTTGCCTGAGAAGTGCTGAGATAAAACATGGCGAAGCTGGAGAAGCAAAGTTGGGAGATTATCTCCTCCACTCTTCCCAGTCAGCTCGTGGATTCAGGCAGCTTCGACTATTCACTGAGAAGAATTTAGATGTCGAGGCTGTGTGTGTGTGTGTGTGTGTGTGTGTGTGTGTGTGTGTGTGTGTGTGTGTGTGTGTGTGTGTGTGTGTGTGTGTGTGTGTGTGTGTGTGTGTGTGTGTGGCGTGCGTGCGTGCGTGTATTTGGATGTACAAGTTTTCTTTCCTGTGCTACCCTTTGTGTGTGTATGTTTAGCTGCGTCTGTCAAGGTGGGGTCGGGATGTGGTCTCCATGGCATCCCTGGGTGCGAACATCCTCCCCTTGTCATCACCGTAGTGACGGCAACGTGTCAGGTTGTTTAGGAGACGAGGGGAGGGAGGGAGCGTGGGGGAGGAGGGGAGAAGAGGCTCAGGGGTCTCCCTTGTGTAGCTCAGTGTCAAGGTCGCACACACACACACACACACACACACACACACACACACACTGTCAAAAAACAAACACACACATGCACACAAACAGCCGCATGCCAGCACACACATAAACATAAACCAACCAAAACACACACACACACACACACAAATATGCTGTCAAACCTGAGGACAGGACGGGGTGAGCGCAGGGGGACAGGGCGACAGGGTTACCCATCTTTAGACGTGCTGTTCCTACATGTCCACTGAGACTGTGTGTGTGTTTGTATGTGTCAACCAACGAGAGTGTGTGTGTCACAGACTGAATGATTGGGAATACACAGAGAGAAGAACTTGTAAACAACATTGTTTTGACTTTCATCGCTGTTGTTGCTTTTGTGTTTCTCCCTTTTATTTCTCTGCAGTATACTTCACACTGACCACAAGCACCGCTGCAAGACTGAGCGAGAAGGGCTTAGAGAGAAAGAAAGAGAGACAATGAGAGAGAGAGAGAGAGAGAGAGAGAGAGAGAGAGAGAGAGAGAGAAGGACTGAGAGAGAAAGAGAGACACTGAGAGAGAGGGAGAGATGAAGAAGAAGAATGGCGGTTAAGGATTGAAACACAAAAGCAGCATAGAAGGCGGAGTGGAAAGGGAATGAATGAATTAGTCGTGGGTCACTGGTGATTCTCATTAAAAACAAATTACTAATGTTGAGGAGGGACAGCTGTGCTACTGTGGCTGGTTTCTAATGATACACAGAGAGACACACACAACACAGGCACAAACACACACACATATAGGTGCACACCGAACGCACACATGCCACCCCCCTGGGAGCACTGTCAGCCATAGTTTAGACAGACAAGAAGGAGGAAGTGGCGATGCTAAGTACGCCCCGTGAAGACACACACACACACACACACACACACACACACACACACACTCCAGTGGGAATTTACACACATGGTCACATGTATGTACACTTACAGAAGGGATGATCGGTGGCTAGAGAGGTGGCAGAACTGTAAAAGTACAATGGCACTCTTGCTATTGAGAAAAGTTGAAACTGTTTGAGTCTGTGTATGGTGCGTGTGTGTGTGTGTGTGTGTGTGTGTGTGTGTGTGTGTGTGTGTGTGTGTGTGTGTGTGTGTGTGTGTGTGTGTGTACTCACCAGGTACCATGCCAGTGAGGGAGGGGGTGGAGTAGCTGCCCTGTCCAGTGGGAGGAACATGAGGAGGGTAGCCTGGCAGAGTGGTGCTGGCTAGGTCTCGACCTGTAATCATACATACTTTCATCAATACTTTATTGTAACATTGTCAAATTAACTTACATAAATGTGGGGACCATAAAAAAAAAACTCTCTATGATGCTCTGAAAACTGGTCAACATCTCTACAGTAACAAGTTACTGTTTGTTACTTTCCACTCCTCACAGTTATTTTACTCAAAATTAATGTAGGAGTGTTTTAATATTGTTAAAATGCCACTAATATCACCTTGAAAAAATGCAGGATCTTCACTGAAAAATCCATACGGGAGAACATTTAGGATGTCCCTCTGTCTTTTGTTTCTTTCCTCCCTGTTTTCCACCCGCTGATGTCTATTAATTTACCAGCTCCCCCTTTTCTCGTTACCACCATCTCCCCCTCCTTCCTCTGTCTGTCACTTGGTGGATTGGATATATAACTGCATTAGACTACATGACAGTGTGTCGGCCCAAATCATTTCTCTATGTTTGCACGCAGTAGACATTGGGAGTGCGTGGAGAGGGAGCCCTCCATTCATCATCATCATATATACACACACACACACACACAACCGCACACACACACACACACACACACACACACGCACACAAATGCATCGACACCCTCCTCTTCCCCCTTGCACACACACATTTATCATCATCATAAACAGCTCAGATGCTAACACCATCAATCCCATTCACTTCCCCTCCACTTAACCACCACTAACTAACTGAGAGGAGGAGGAGGAGGAGGAGGAGGAGGAGGAGATGGGAAATAGAAAAGAGAACATTAAAGACAAGGAGAATGGAAAGATGGCGTGAAACAAACCAGAGAGAACAGGAAGGACAAAGAGGAAGAGTAGAGGAAGGGGACAACAGCAGTGGTGGAAAAAGTATTTCTTTACTTAAGTAAAAGTGCAGGTGCTTTGAGCTAAATGCTAATGTCAGCATGCTAAGATGCTCACAATGATGATGCTAAAAATGCTGATGTTTAGCAGGTATGTTAAAAATCTTAGTGTAGCGTGTTGACATAAATAGTTCATAAATAAAAGTCACGTTGCACTCAGATGGATTCATTTCATTTGTTTTATTTTGCCATCCTGTCATTGTCAAGGTGCTGTCTGTCTGCCGTCTACTGTCTCCTTGAATCCATGTTAGTAGTAGTAGTAGTTAGTGTTAGCAAAATTATTACGTCATTGTGAGGGGGAATATCCATACAAAAGTTGTGGAGGCCTTTCACTTAAACCCAGAAATGTCAAACTCAAGAAGATGCTTAAAGAAAAGTCAGGGGCAGTCACCAAAAGATATTAGGATACTTCTTCTTGGGACCCGGCATGTCTGTATAAAATTATGAAGATATTGCAGTGTGAGTGTGTGAGTGTGTGAATGTGGCTGAAAAAATTTAAAGGATCCTTATCAAAATTTTTTCTTTATGGTATGTATTAAATATGTATTAAAAACTACTGACCGATTCATTGATGTTATCAGACGAGCCTTACTGGAAAACAAAAAACAATAAAGAGGAACCGAAAAAGAAGAAGAAATGTAGATATGATAAAGGGGAGAAAGGGAGAAAAACGTGTGGTTACTAATCAACCAGCATCTCTCTCCTCTCTTCCACCCTCTCCACCTCATATTTCTGTCCTCTTCACTTCCTATTTGCCTCTTCACCTCCCTCTGTACTTGTGTTTCTATCTCACAGATTCCCTCTGTACTCCAGCCTCCTATGTCCCTCTCTGCCTCCTCTCTCCTGTCTCAGTGTAGTAAAGTTTTTCTCGGTGTTTGACGCGACAGCGAGGCATTAGTGCAGACGGGCTACTCATCCGCTCAGGGTCAGTGCACAGGGCAAGGAGGAGAGGGAGGAGAGGGTGGAAGAGAGGAGAGATGGACTCTCTACAGCCCAACTTAGAGGGGGCAGACAGGGCCAGATCCTCTGAGGTGTGTGTGTGAGTGTGTGTGTTTGCGGTTCTGTGTGTGTGCGCCCAGTGTATTTGTGCATATGTATGCCAGTTGTGTTGATGTATCTGTTCTCCACTGCTTTGCCGTAGAGGTCAACAAACAAGTGCAAGTCTCCTCCGTGCTCACTTGCAGCTACAGATGAACACACATCCTCTGCCTCTCTTTCTCTTTTACTGTCTCCCTATCGAACTCTTCCACATCAAACAGCTATCAGAGCAACATATGTCAAACCTGGAGGGAATCGAGGGTGAACAATGTGTCCCTTTGCACTCGAGTGAACTGGGTGGAGTTCAGGGGGAAAATGAAAATGCCCTACAGATCTGTAAAGGCCTAAGAAAGGAAGATTAAATGTGTAAATGTTGCTCTACAGCGTGTGTCCGGAGTATCAACTCTTCAAGGATGCAATAACATTGCGTCAAACACACAGACGTCTGATCCCCTAGAGGGAGCTCTATTCTGAGGGAAAAGACAGGCAAAGAAATGCATGCATAATATTCAGAGGGTGTGTGTGTGTGAATATGAATGTGTGTGTTTGCATGCATAAGCAGAAATGGAAATTTTATCTCTCTCTCTTTTTCTCTGTCTTTCTCGCTCCTGACTTGAGCAGGTAATATTCCTCAGTGGTTTCAAAGGGCTAAAAAAGAGCCCTTTCCCAGATATCCCAAATTCCCAGCTCTATGATTCCCCTCATTACAGATGGGAACGTCGAAGCCTTGTTCAAGTGCTCCCTGGTCTACTCTTAATTAACCGCTGCCTCTCCCGGCGCCCCTAAATAGAGACACGGGAAGAGACGAGGCTCTCACTTTTCCTCTATCCATCTACCTTTTCTTTTCCTCCTTTCCTCCGGGCTTCTCTCCTCTCCAGAGATCCAAAGCACTGTGCTCTTTAAACAGGATCACTTAGAATCCATGTAGCTTCCTTCACTGCTGAGGTGGATTTAAATGGCATTTTGCTCACTGTGTTTGGAATACAAATTACTGAATGTATAAAAAAAATTTAATGCTGAGGTCAGACTCGTGCACTAGGCTTGATTTTCTGTTTTCTCTTTCATATAGTAACACAGAACGAGCAACATAATTCACTCCAAAAAGATACACGAAGAGATAAAGAGAGAAACATTTGCATCTTATCATTACTTTGTTGCATGGCGATTTTATATTCTCACCCAATATCTGACTCTTACTCTTTTCACAATTGGTTGTTGTTAATAGGCAAAATTGTTCTGCTGTTGCAGGTTTTTATGGGAATTTACAAAAATGATGGAAAATTTAATTTGGCTTTAATTTGACTTCTCTTACTCATCTCTTACTTACTTCTTATTCTTTAAAAAAAGGACTCAAAAAACCCACTAAAGCTGTCAAATTTGATTTGAAGTGCACGCAGTGCCAAGAAAAGCAAAAACAATATAAAGAAAACGAAAGAAAGCACACTTAATGCTCCTGAAACAGATTTGTTGAGTTCAGTTACAGCAGGCTACCTGACGAAGATGTAATGTTGACAATGTAAATCTTGTTTTAATTAGCTTGTGTATGTCTTTTTTCTTGATATAACTAGATTTTCTGTTGTATTCAATATATTTTAGCACAGGAGCGCAGTTGGATATCTTTCTTACCTGGAACGAGTGAATAGGACTGTGGACCCGACACGCTGGCTCCTAACTCCGCCCCTGTACCAGGATTGGCCAAACTGTTCTTCATCTCGTCCAGTCCACCGGTGAGTGAGGCCATGGCCGAATAATCTGACGTCTGGGCAGAGGCAAGACGTTGAGAAAAGTAAGGATAAAAGAGAACAAAAAGATCAAATCATGACATTTTCTGTTAGACACAACATGTATACTGTAGTGTTGGATGTTGCTTACAGCTGTGATCAATCTGTTTTTTATATCGTGCTACATTTCCAACATGCTGCCCCTACCTTATAGCAAAGAGCCATGAAGCTTTAGTATGAACACACACATACAAAAAACACACCTACAGAGAGTTTATTGATCTGTTTACAAAGACAGGGATTTACTGTACAACCAAGTCCAACAGTCTATAACCACAGGATCAGCTTGCTCTTTCTCTTCATCTCTCTCACCCTCACACACACACGCACACACACAGACACACACACATACACATCGTAAACACACACACACACACACACACACACACACACACACACACACACACACACACACACACACACACACACACAGTGATATCACATAGACCATGGCTAACACAAAGCCTCTTGTCTCCCCAGATACCAACAACAATAAGAACTGTGATCATCTCAACACACGTACGCAGTCTCCCAGTGCTCTTAACACACACACACACACACACACACACACACACACACACACACACACACACATCCACGCACACTCACGTGCACACACACTACACAAGTTAAAGACATATAGAGAATAGGGGAACTGAAGTGACAAAGCAATATCTGGTTGTTGTCTAGTTGTATGGTTTTTATTCTCTGTGCAAACTCTCTTGTGAAAAGGTATCAAAACAAAATAGAGGTCACAATGTTACAGTTATATACGTAATGGATATTTATTTTTTGCAAATATTAATGTTTTTTTACCATATGATAATCATTTGAGTCATCCTTTGGAGGTGTGACACTGCTGAAATTATTTACAATTATAACAGAAACCTAAACAAAGCTCAAATCTTTATACGTAGAGGTTAAATTGAGAAAATTAAGTTCTTCCTTCTGATTGCACCTCTCATAATGTTTATTTCCACACTCCTAGTACCAAACTACACCTTGTGTGCCATGCTACTTTTGTGCCACAAATTACGAAAAAATCACATTTGAAAATGCATTTTACAGTCTGTTCGTGCAAAATTAATTAAAATAGCTATCCACAATATAGATCATGGCCGAGATCATGGGGACAAAATTTTGAAGCAGCCTCTAAATGCAGACAAATAGACGGCTAATGGAAACTGTCCCCTCACCTTTGTCTGACCCTAACACTGAGCTATGACCCATCCATCCTCATCTCTCTTTTCTGCCAGTGTGTGTGTGTGGTGATTTAGAGTGATGGCATTGACAGTGATGACCAACTATATATAGATTAACCACCAATTCTCAGGGCTGCAACGCTCATGATGGTTAAATGACCTGCCTGCTGACTATATATGTGTGTGTGTGTTTGTGTGTGTGTGTGTGTGTGTGTGTGTGTGTGTAGGTGTGTGTGTTTATATGCTGTATTTTTCTGTATATGTATCTGTGCATAGAGAAAAACAAAAGGAAGCTATTAAAGACCCAAAACTTAGAATGTAGTTTTTATCTACAGAGGCAGCAGGTCGCCTTCCATAGAGGCTGCTTTGTTGAACCGCCATGTTTTTACAGCAACTCAGAATGGACAAACACTGGCTCTAGACTGGGCCTTTCACGTTTTTTGAGCATTTCGCAGCCACTGTAATTTCTCCTACATACTTTGAAGGGGAGAGTGATGCAAGAGAGTTGCGATATGCAAATACACCGCTAGATGCTGCTAAATCCTACACACTGGTCCGTTAAATGCAAGAACAAAATAACTTTAAACCTCTAAATTTGTGCACAAATGTAGTTATGAGGAGGCAAAACGAACCAGAAAAAGCTTGGATTAGCAGTAACTCTGATATTTCTAAAGCTTCCTCAGCGGGAATCAAAATGCATTGACATCATTACTAAGTCACAGCTAAACAGCTATTAGTGCAAAACAAAAGTGGGACACTTACACTAGAAGTGTAATTTACAAATCACTCATTCAAATTGTTTTGTTAAATTTATCTCACCAGACTTTTTGCTAAGTTAAGTGATCTTCATTCAAATAGAGCAGTAAATGAATGCATTACTGTTCATAGCACCACAACCCTGATCCGTACGTTCACCCTGTTACCTTCAGCTCAGTACAAAACCAGGTCTGTACACGTATAGGCAAGTATACAAGTATTTATAGTTAATAGCTCTGCAGCTTCCTATTTGTAATAGTTATCATGTTGTGATTGTTTAATATAATATACTTCCACAATGGCTGCAGCTTACTTTGTGCACAAACTGAGCAGATACAATTTCTCACTTTTCTGCATGAAATGGATCTGTTTCTCTTTTTTCTATGTGTTACTGCTGACCTGTGTGTGTGTGTGTTTGTGTGTACACTAATGACAGCAATCAGAATTTCCTTTAGGTGATGAGGTGAGAGTTTTGCACTGACCCTTTTAATACCTCTGCATCTGTGTGTGTACGTGTGTGTGGACGTGTAAGTGTAGGCGTGTGTTTGTGCTCACTGACCTCTTAAACACCCCTGTGCTCGTCAACACACAACACAACCACTGGACTGTGACCTGCCAAATAAGAGCTTACCCAGTACACTACACACACATCTCTCTCTCTCTCTCTTACTCTCTCTCTCTCTCTCTCTACACTTCAGACATGTTTTTAAGCCCCACTTTTCTCTCCCACACACACATACACACATCACACCTGTAGTTTTTTTTCCACCCATATCACACATGCAACCCCTGCACCCCCCTCCTTCCTCTCTTGGCCGCTCTCTGTCTTATTATAATGGTGTCTAATGTGTCCATGTATCCATGTAGATGGGGGCCAGGCAGCAGCAGCAGCAGAGAAGAAGGGGTCTGCCGTGGTAATTGGCCATGATGAAGTTTGGCCAGTGGGGTGACAGGCCCGCTAAGGAAGATGGATCATTCTCATTCGGCCCCGTAAATGTTGTCAATTCCACCACTCATACAGCGCCATCAGCCCTCATCAAAGAAGAGGGACGCAGCTGCCGGGCCGTGGAGGGGTTGGGGTTTGGGGGTTGTTGGAGGTGGTGGTGGTGGTGGTAGGGGGGGGATTGTACAGGGCAGGATGGAGGGTTAAAAGAAAAGGTTGCAGGGGGGAGCTGAACCTGGGGCAGGAAGTCACAGGCCAAACGAAGGATGAGAGGAGGAATGTAGTTATAAAGGAGCAGAGAGATGGGATAGAGATGACAGAGCAAGGTGGATCCATGTAAGACATGAGAAAAGATGTGAATTGTTAATGGAAGAGAGCAGAAAATAATGTGGGAAGAATTGCAACTGTAAGAATGAGGCCACATTCAGGCCAAGATTAGCAATGGGCAGTGTCGTCCAGAATAAAAGAACATAGCTCAGGGTGCCCTGATAGCTCACCTGGCCTAGTCCTTGCTGCAGCGGCCATGGGTTCAAAACCGACCTGTGGCACTTTGCTGCATATCATCCCCTCTCTGTCCCCCTTTTCAGTCTATCTTCACCTGTCCTATCCAATAAAGACAAAAAGCCCCCGAAAATGAGGCCAAAAGTGATTGATTTTGTATGTAACTGATTAGCATTTCTGGCCGATGTCAATTGGACACAAACAATGTCTGCTAGCTTGTGTTTTATTCCAAGATTTACAATACATAAATACAGGTTTCCCATTGGCTGATTATTGCAGTCTGCTTCCTCATGCTTCACTTTCAGTCTCTCAAAGCATCTTTATGACCAACACAAAGATGCTAAGCTAACCAATTATACCCTAATGTTCGAAAATTAGTATATATTTGAGTAGTCCTTTAATATTACAGTATGGCTGCAAGTGTTGTTTTCTCTCTCTCACTCACTCCCTCACTTACACACAGCAGGTTGGTCTACTGACTCAGATCTGGGAAGGTAATGGTTTGGTCCAAATTTCACATCAATAACAGATGAGCCCTAATCGGCCCTCTGACACACACACACACACACACACACACACACACACACACACACACACACACACACACACACACACACACACACACACACACACACACACACACACACACACACACACACACACACACACTGGTCCTGTTGGCTTGCCTATTTGCATAATAGTATTTCCCTTTTTCTCCATTCCCCAAATAGCTCCCGATTTCTCTCTCTCCCTCTCTCCACATTGTCTTGTGTACTCCTGATGGAAAAAGGCTTGACTATAAACAAATACAATTCCCTCAGAGGCCCACAAACTGAGGCAGGGATTGCGGGGAAGGAATTCATCTGTGCTCAAACTGAGCGTGGCGGCAGTGGGGAGGATATTCATTCCCTGACAAACCAGATGGACGTCAACTCTGGGGAAAGGCTGTAAAAGTTCATACATTTTGAATGAAAATTTGGGCTAACAGTTCTATTTAATGAATGATTTATTGATTTAAATTTTGAAATGAAATATTAGTCCATTAATGGCTTATGCCTATTTTGTTGTTTCAGGTACAGAGTAATGTTCACGTCACAGAACTGAAAGGGTAAGGCTGTTTTTTTGGTTTGTTTGTTTTTAGAGCTGGTGAAATTGCATATAAAGTCAATGGAAAGATGGAATTTAGGCTAAGAGAGAAGAGAGACAATAGGAGAGACACTTGAGTAAAATACACATGGTTGGTATGTCCGTTGCTAGATAGCTTACAGCTGACATCTGTACACTGACTGTTATATATTACACCTCTTCTGATTTTGTACAATAACGCGAGGCAAAAATGTACCTCGCTGTCTGAACACCTTGATGGAGCTTATTCCTCTGTGCCATAGAGCTCCATTGATGTCTAAAAACAGTTGCATTCGGTGACATGCTGTAATAAACATGGGTGTTCCCACATACACCATACTGTCGTAAATGAAAAGGTTTTAGGAAATTACTGAACCTTTTTTTTTAAATAATCTTTTTTATTTTTGCAAGTCAGAAAGTATTGAGAGACGGACTAACACATTTGGTTTTGTCTTTTCTTAGGATTTGTTGTTGAGTCTGTCAGCTTCCTGACCAATTTAACCATCTCCATCGTTCCAAGGAGATCACCTTTGACCTCTCTACTCCTTTTTAAGCTTTTTAGATGAAGAGAAAGACCAGGACTTTGTCTTTTTGTTTCTATATCCCAGTCAGCCGCACTGACTGGTGCTGTGGGCGTTTGGACCCGGGGCAGCATGGATGGGTGGGGGCTCTGTCAGCCCTCCTGATTTATCACCTGGGTAATAGGAAGTGATTGAAGGGAAATTCAAATGAACTCTCTCTGACAGGCACACATGCAGACACACATAGGAGCACGCACACACAAATTAATAGTGGGACTTAATAGACTACAGGGAAAAGGGGAACAAGAGCAGGAGAAGGAGATGAGATAAAAGAATGGCTTGTTAGAGGGAGTAAAGATAAAGAAAAGGTCTCAGACAAACAGGATAGGAGAGTAACTACTGGTGACAGATAAAATAAGATTTGCTTGTGAGGAATGTGAGCAATTTTACTTTTTATCTATTCCAGTGGGATGAAGGAAGAAGAAATAATGAATGAGGCTCGTGTTTCAGTGCAAGAAAGCTAAAAGATAATGAGGAGCTTGAAATAGCCGCTGAAATTACAGTATATTAGTATACCATTTAATATACTGTTGGTACCTGAAATTGAGCCACCTTGCACCTCTGTTTCTCTCTTACTTGCTTGCACTCTGTCCTTTTTTTTCTTTCTTTCACAAACACATACACACTAACTCACACTCCGTCAAAAGGCACACCCACATGCTGCACACACAACAGCACCACCACCAACAGCAGGGCCAAGTACATACCAGGCATCTTTTTTAGGAATTTTCAGTCACAACACAGCTTGACCCTCCTTGACCATAACCCCACCAGCATTGCCCCTCTCTCTCTCTCTCTCTCTCTCTCACACACACACACACACACACACACACACACACACACACACACACACACACACACACACACACACTCAGCCCACATACCAGAGAGGCTGAGCTGTAGCTGTCAGTGTGTCAGTGTTAGAGGGTATGACTGTCAATCACTCCCTCTGGGAAATGCAGGCTGGGAAAAGGGGGGTGGTTGACTAGACAGGATGAGAGAAGGGAGCGGAGGTAGAGGGACAGATAGTGATGTAGATTTGTATGTGTGTGTGTGTGTGTGTGTGCAAATGTGTGTGTTGCTCTTTGTAATCACAATGCAGCTCTGGTTTGACCCCAGGGCGACCGGCAGTCTAAAGCCCCTATCCCCGACCCCAGTGGCTTGACCGGGCTCAGGGAGGACACTGACCTATGAATCATGGGTATTATAGTCTTGAGTCGTAGTCTATAGAGCTACTAGAGCCAATCCCTGTCGACCTCTCGCCCTGTGCCACTCCATTCCCCATGTCGGTCAGAGGGAAGTGAATGGGCTAAAAGGAGAAACTCTGCCCTATAGGTCTAAGGCTGTAGCCTATGTGACTCCATATACTACTACTTCTTTAGTGTGTGTTTGTCATCTTGCCCTTGGCATTGACTGAATAAATAAACATGAAGTAGGGACATCTTTAAAGGATGTGGAAACAAAAGTGTCATTTTTGGACACTGCAAAAATATTTCCTTAATATCGACTGGAGGGCTGCAGATTAAAGGACATTTAAGAGGAGATAGAGTGGAATATAAATGCTTGTTTGTGGTTGTTTTGTTATTCAGCATACTACTTACACCTGTCTATTCCACTCAGATTTACATTAACTTGCTGCTTGGGAAAGGGTGGGAGGTCAATTTAGATGCAACGTTGAGACACACTTTTTCTTGCTCTCATTTTTTCATCTTTTTCTCTCTCATGCAAACAACACACACGCATATGCAGCTCATTCCCAAGATGCATCAGCATGCGGACAGCTCCATCGCCATCCCCAACCAGCAGGAAGTGAGGTCATAATGAGAGCCAGGTCAATATGCTCATTAACCCCTGCGGTGTATCTAGATTATTGGAACATCAATAGGCCAGGCCTGACTGGGTCTCCATTGCAGCCGTCACAATGTCTATCAGATCACAGCCACTCACAGCGGTCCGTCAGAGAAACACGGCTTGATGCTGACATTCTCACATCACTCAGTGAAAAGCAACATAGAAGAAGCAGAAACAATCTATTGCTTTGGAGATATAATTAGTAATGTTTATGTTTTTAATATGCAATCTGACTAATTTCTAACATGACAAGACTGACAAGGCATGGCAAGGCATAGCAGGCAGGACAGGCTGTTAGCTAAAAGCAGAGACAAGCATTGCATCTAGCATCAAGATGGGAGATAGGGCATGTATACGTAAGTTGTGTTAATGAAGTTGCTTTTCTAAATAAACTTAATATAAACAACATATTTGTGGATCAAACATACAGACTTGTTTGTCCACTGATGAACTAATTGCCCTCTATGATACCTAAAATGTCAAAATATCCATGAAGAGTCTCACTACATGCTCTTCTTTCCTTTGTATTTCAGTTTTAGTTTTCAGTTGTTGTATTAATTGTGTATTTTGCATTTAGTAGATGAGATTAAATTACATTAGATTCGACATTTTTGTCTAAAGTGACTTGAAATGAATGCATTCAAACTCAATAGGAAGAAGCAATAGTAGCAAAATCACTATTTAAAGTATTAGCAAAGCATAGCTATGCAAGCATGTTAAATTGGCTGTTTGACTTATCAAACCCAAAACACAGACTTGGGATTGGGAAAGCCAAACTGCATAAATATGCAGCTTAAAAGCATCCCTGGGGGTGCTGTGGCAATGCAGGAGTGGGTCCACAAATGGATGACCCACAAGGTGGCACTGTGTGGAGTACTGAATTAGCCAGGCTATAGTCTGTGGTGACCATCCCTTGACTCTGTCAGTCTCACTCATAAGCTTTTAATGGAAAGTTTTTTTCCTGCATTAGTTGTATTTTTCATCAGAGCACCCTACAGTCTGGTTGACCCTTGACCTGTTCCCAAACTTAGCCTCAGCCTGCACGGTGCCACGCCCTTACCTTGCCAGAGTCAGGGCTCACATAGAGGTCAGAGGTGGATTGGATTGGACAGGGTGGCTGCCTGTCAAACAGGCGGTCCAATACCTCGATCTGCTGCGGTGAGAACAGCTCCCCTCTCATCTGCTTCCTGAGGAAGTCCCGCCCACTGTGGCCGT